AGCATACCTTTAAAATTACTTTTTTAAAATTAATTAAAGTTATTTAAAGCTTTTTTTATAACCTATAAATTTAAATTTATAATATATATAAGTTTTTTAATTTTATTAATTATTTTAATTATAGGTATAAGTTTATTAAGTTTTACTTTTATTAATATATTAAATGCTTTATTTTTTAAGTTTTTATAAAAAAGCTATTTATTAAAGTGCATATTATATATAATTTATACTTTATTAAGTATTAAAATTTAAATTTTATATAGGTTGGATGTATAGTAACCTATAAAGTACTTTATATAAGTATACTTTTATATTTTAAATAAACGCTTATTTATTCCTTACACTCTGTTTTTATTAAGTATATAAGCTTAACAGCTATAAGTATAAATATTTTTTTAATTAAGGCAAAAATCTATAATAAGTTTTTTTATAATTACTAATTTATACTAATAGAAATATTAAGTAAACTACTTTTTAAGCACTTTTATTAAGGATTTTTAATTTTTTATTTAATATAGTAAAATAGTATATATTTAATAAGCTACTTTTATAGCCTTTAGCTATAAGTATAATAATAGGTTTATTTTATAGCTTATAGTAATAAATTATTTAATAAGTTTATAACTAGCTTTTTTTAAACCTTTATTAAGTTTATAAGTATTTACTAACAATATTTTAAGTTTAATTTTTAAGCTTTTAGCTTATATTATATAATTAGTTTTAATCTGCTAGCTAAATAATAATATATTATTATTTAAGCATATTATATAGATTATAAGTTTAAAGTGCTAATAAACTTAAGCTTTAAAGTTTTATAATAATAGTAAAACTTAATCCTTTATTTTTTATATTAAAAAGTAAATAAATAGTTTTCTATTTTATTTATCCTTAATAATAAGCGCTTACTTTATAAAATCTAAGGCTTTTTTAAAATTAAATAAATTCTAGAAAATCCTTTAAAAAAGCTTTAATAAAAAGTAATTTAAGTAAGCTTTAAATATAACCTTTATTATATATATTTTTAAGTAGTATTTATAGTTGATTTATACTATACTATTAATTTGTATTCTTTTTATAATGCTAATAAGTTTTTTTAAAGTATTTTTCCTTAAATATTTAGATTTAAAATGCTAAATATATTTTAAATCTATTTTAAAAAGCGTATAATCTATTAAAAAGTAAAACGTATACTATTTTCCTCTTTATTTTTTAAATATTAAAAGCAATATTACTTTAACTATACTTTATAGCTATTAAAATCTATAAAGCTTAATTATAAAAAGCATTAAAGGCAAATAAATAAAAAGTAGTTTATATTTAAAAAATACTAAATTATATTTTTTAATAAGTGCTTATAAAACTATACTTTTTTTAAGCGTTTTAAAGTATAATATATAGTTAAACTTATAATACTATACTCCTAATTCCTATAAATAAGCTTTAAAAGTAATATTTATATAAAAATCCTTTATAATTATTATATTTTTAAGTTTAAAATCTTTAGTTTATAGCTCTATTTTCCTATTAAATATATTTTTAAATACTTACTTTTCTTTTTTAATTATTAAAAATAAAATTATTCCTATATCTATATACTTAGCTTTAATAAATTTAATAAAAAAGCTTAATTTTAATAATTAAATATTATTAACTAAATATACTATACTATAATTATTAAAAACTATTAAATTTATAAGTATATAGCGCTTTAAATATAATATTAAAAACATTTTTAAATTCTTATTTTTTTAAATATATATTTAATTATAAAATATTTTTAAAAATATTAAATTAATAATTAATAAGTTTATATATAAAAAGTTATAAAAAAAAAAAGCATTAGACACTTATAGCTTAAGCTGCTTTATAAAAAGTATTTTAATATATTTATTAAATATTATACTAAATTAGCTATATATTATATTAAACTTATATACTTATTATTAATATACTATATTTAGCTATTATATTTATAGCTATTATTTAAATATATACTCTAAGTTATTATTATAAACTATTAATTATAAAAAAGCTAGTACTTTAAAAGAAATTATTTTAAATAAAGTATATTATAAAAAAAATATTATAAAATTAAGTTTTAAAGATAAATTTTAAAGTTTTTATATAAAGTAAAAAGGTATATTAAGCTTTTTATATATTAAAAAACTTTAATATTAAAATAATATAAAAAATAAAAAATAAAAAGTATAAAAAAAATAAAAATAAAAAAGTATAGGGATTTTATAAACCTTTAAATAGCTAGTATTTAGCTTAGCTAAAATATATTTACTAAAATATTTACCTTTTAATAAATCCTAAATATTATATATTAAAGTTTTTTTATAATAATTAGCTAGCTTATACTTTAATAAATAATAGCTAAGCTAATTTAATTTAGTTTAATATTAACTACTTTTTATTTTTTAATTTAGTAATAAGCTAAGCGTTATAATTCACACTTAACCTTTATATAATCATATATTTTATATACTTACTTAATAATTAAAATATTAACTAATTTAATTTTTTTCTAATATAATAATATTTTAAAAAATTATACTATTTTAACGCTTAATTATATAATACTTTTTATATTTTTAAATAAAAATACTATTATAGTTTATAAGTTTACTATACTTATTCTTTTAATTTTTATATTTATAGCGTTATAATTTATAGTTTTTATTATTTAAATATAATAAAAATATTTAAAAATTTTATAGCTATAAAGATTTAATTATATATTAAAAGGCTTATAAATACTTTTTTATACTTTTTAAATATTAAATTTAAAAGCTTAAAAACTTTATTTTATATAATTTCTTAAATTTTAGCTTTAAACTATATTAAAGCAAAATAATACCTAACTATATATAAAAAGTTTTTAATAGTAATTATACCTTTAATATTTAAAATTCTAAAAGCTTATTTATTAAAAAAAAGCTTATACTAAACCTAATACTAATCTTTAAATTATATTATATAGCTTTTTATTTTTATAAAGTACGCTTAGTAATTTTTAATTATAATATTTTATAATATATAATAGTTTAGTATTATATTAGCTTAAATATTGTAAAGCACTTATTATATTAAAAAAACCTATTTTTAAGTATTAAACTTAAAAAGTTATATAAAGTTAGGTTTAAAAATTAATCTATTTATACTTTTTTAAATTTATAACTAAATTTTATTAACTATTTTATTTATTTTACTATTATTTATTCCTTTAATAACTATACTTTTAAAATAAAAATTATAGTATTTTATAGCTTTATTAATAATAAGTTTTTTAAATTTAATAAGTTTTTTTAGTATATATACTAACAAAAGTATTAAAATAAATTTAAAAGTATTATTTTTTAGCTTATTAATAATTTAGCTTACTTACTATATATTAAGCTTTATTTAATATTTAGTATTTTACTTTTTAAAATATTTAATATATTATTCTTTAAAAAAGAGTACTATATTTTATAAACCTAGTTATAGCTTACTATTAAATATATTTAGGTTTATATACTCTTAGCACTTTTTTAATTTATAATATAATTTTAAAAATGCATATTAGCTAGGCTATAAGTATAAGTTATTTATAAGCTATTTTAAAAGGCTATTAAAAAGTATATTAGTATTTGCTATTAATATAATTAAATTAAACTTATAATAAAAAGAAAAAAGGTTTATTAAAAATAATATAATATACTAAATAATATATATAAAAAAGGTAATTAAAAGCTTATTAAATAAATTTTTTACTTTATAAATCTTTAATACTTTTAGCTAAAAAAAAAAATAAGTTAGCAAATTAGGCTTATAATTATAAAGCACTATAAATTATATAGCAAATAGTAAAGCGTAAATAAAAGCGTTATTATTTTAGCTAAGTTTGCTTTAATAAAGGGCAAGCCTTTAAAATATAATTTATAGGTGCTCTAGCAGGTGCGCACTCCCTTATAGTAGCTTTCGGCAGCTTGCACGCACGCTAAATTTGCGACAAAAAGAATGTACAGTTTCATCTGTCCGTTCATTAAGCCTTGTGTTAATGCTTGAGATCAAGTAAGACAGCCTTGCGAATTGTGAGCAGGTTCGGTTCACATAACATTGGCTACCAAGATAACGTCCAAATAAGGTTGTGGTTAGTCTGTACACCATGTCTCCATCGAGCCCGAGGTTCCGAAACCTTATAAAATGGAGCTAGGCGAAGAGGAGGGACGACTAGGGGGCCGGGTCCTCCTCGGGAGTGCTTACCCGGGCCGGCCGCGCGTTTTTAGGCTATGAGCCTTAACATAGGAAAGATCGTCGCCTCCCTCTTATCTTCGCAGCCCATGCCTCTCTCACGCAGAACAAGTGCGATGTGTGTGAGATCAGATAGAGCGAGGAGGATCCGACCACATGGATTGATCGACTCGTCTATGCAAAGTGTTTCCTCATTTTTGGTACAGAGAAGAGCGCACAACGTCAGCACAGCGTCGACGCGAATGCGGTGACTGAAGATGTCGACCTTGCTGCCGCAAGGCCATGTGCCAAGGTAGCATTTGCCAAATCCATCATTCCACTTGCCTAGGCCCGGTACCGAGGATCAGGGCCTGTCGGGCAGCTCGGGCAGAGGAGCATCCCACGGGCTCAGTCGAGCGGTTGGCTTTGATCTGGGCGAGGCTGGAGTGTTACTCTAGCACCTGGGCACGACTGAAAGAAGGCTTGAGGAATCGTAGTCTAGGAATACTAGATGAAGATGATTTTGTCCCTTCATGGCAGCATTTGCTTCGCCAGTGTGCGTAGTCGAGCGCAGGAGCTGAAAATAGTAATGTGTTTGAATACACTCATTTGTCTAAATTCGTGAGAAGCCTTCCTGCTTCTGTTCCGTGATATCATGTCTAATCTAGTTGTATTATACATGAGCCTGTAAACCGAAGCCGTTGCCCATGCGCCCAAAGCCAAAAGAATAACACAGCATTGCCCCTTTCACAGAATATCCATCACAGCTCAATGCGCCTTGTCTATACGAGCGCTGGGTCCATAATCTCATCTCCCACAGAGAATGAAAGCAGCCTCTTGACATCCTCGGCCTTCTTCTCTAGCCACAAGCGAGTGTAATCGCAGGCCATCACAAACGCCATATGTCGCGACGGGTCCGCAAGGCCGACTCGCGCATCATGCAGGTTTCGCAAATACAGCGTGAGCTGCGACAACAGTCGCTCAAGCTTGCGGAACGAGAGTAGGTACAGCCTCTGCCGAAGATCCACTTCGTCATCGTCTTCCAGCTCGAGCATACCCCATGATAATCGAGGCTCCATGAAGTTTGCCAAGGACATGCCCGTGCCAACAGCGGCCATGGACATGGACTCTTCGGAGCCCGACGACATACTACTGCCCCTCTCCATGTTTCCCATGTTTGCCATCTCGTTCGCCACCGACTTGCGCAGCGGAGACATTGAATCATTGGCGAGCATCTCAAACTCGTCGATGACATATCCGATGAGCGTGGCGACGGCCATGATGTGGATTGGTTCGGCGTCATCGCGGCCATGCACGCACGCCATGGACGTCTCAGACGACACGATACAACGCTTGAGCTTGGCCAACTGCGCGTCGATCGGCAGCCGCCGGTCGTCGCCGCCGCCGCGCATCGACGTCAGTAGTTCTGTGACGCCCGCGTGGCAGTTACACGTGTACTCGCCTAGCGACGGCGGCGATGGTGGTGTTGCCAGGTACGCCGCCATTTCGGCCGCCGGCCCGCCGTCACTGCTGCTGTTGGTGTTTGTGTTGGTGTTACCGCTGAAGAGTGTCCCCATGGCCCATGGATTGGCATACTCGGCCACGGGCGTCGAGAACTGCGTCACGGCCGCGCTTAGCGGGTCAACAAAGGCGCTGCTGCTTGAGCTGCCGGTGCCTCTTGGTAGACTGCTGAAGTCCAGCAGCAGCCCAGCGCGATTTGTCGGATCTGTCGTCACCGGTGTCTGTGGTGTGTAGTGTTGTAACTGGGACATATAGTCGCCGAAAAGTGTTGTGTTTGCATCGTGTGTTGATATTCCTGCAGACATTGTTCGCTCGGGTGAGGCGCCACCGTTGGGAGTAGCCGTGGATGGTGTTACAGAAGCGCTCTTAGGAAAGGCGAGCCCGTTCCAGCTGCTGTTGTTGTTACCGTGGCCACTGCTGGTGTTGTTCATGTCTCCGTTCGAGGATTGTCGTAAAGGTCCGCGTGGCCGCTGGGACGGCGGCATCGATATGGGCGGAGCGTCCTTGTGAGTCCGCCGCGACAGGCCGTAGATGCACTCGACCCCGTTGCGCTCACACCGCGCACATGTTGGCTTGCGCTGGCTGCACCGCACTTTGGACTCGTTGCAGGCATTGCAAGACGCCCGGAGCCGGATCGTTTTACCGTCTACTCCCATTGAGCCTTCGAGGTTGAGCCTGAGTTTGCCTGGTATTAATGTTTATGCTGTGTAGTGGAGTATTCTTCGCTTGGCTGTCAGCCTCTGGTAAGCATCACGACAATGGTGACAGAAAGCCGTCACACTCATCGAGTGCCGTGGTGTGTTGGATATAACCTTTATGTTTCTCCCCGGCTGGGCTTATTGAACGGGGGTCTTGCCGAACGGCCTCGACCGATCTACTCGGAGCCGACCCAGAGATACGTGAATAACGTCTGACGGCTCAAGTCGGTGCAAGTCTGGGTGAGGGCAAATCATAGATGATGTGATAATCTTCTACAGAGGAAGGATGCACTGCCTGCTGACAGGATGAGACCCGATTGGAAAACCCGTCTCCCGAGCCCAAAGCAGAGAATCGTTGACTTGAATGAGAGGTTCAGTCTTGGCGGATGAATCGGCAGGCATACCCAGATGGTTGGGCTGCATCTGGCTGCGAATGCGCTCAGTGGGCTGCATGAGGTCTTCAGTGAGTGCAGAGACTTGCATGCCTGGGCACTCGCTCCTGAGGAACACAATACAGTCAGATCTGTCAGCGGGGTCCAGACACCTCTGTGCCACTTTCGCCTTTTCTGCCATCCGCCATATGATCAGCAGTGCATATTGTGGCGGAATGCGCCGTGGTTGGCACCCCTTTCGAAATTTAGTCTCAAGGCTTGGCCCCTAGTACCGCAATTCTCCTTGATATGGTGCTCACTCACATAGTCTCACCGCTCACCACCTTCTCTGAGGAGACAGCGCACGTATATGTACCTGTATGCTATCAATTAGCCTTGTTGGGCCTTTTCAGATGCAAAAGTTGCGAGCGCATCAATATGATCTGTCAAATTAAGCTATGGGTACTTTTCCATATCTCACGTGCAGTCCTGAATTGTAAAAGAGTCAAATTTCGCGAGTGATCAGCACCATCTTCTGGTAGATGTGGCGTTCTTCGAGCCTAGACTAGAATGGTAGGTATCGTATTTAGACGTGCCTGCTTGCGTCACACATTTTCCCTGTATGCCTGAGAGGTTACATCTTCAGCTAAAACTGGTTGATCGCAGCGGTGCTGTTGGACCACGTCAGCCAAGAAGCATCACGATCAACAACGTTTGACGGCAGCTTCATCGTACACTATCCAGTAAATGCACATGTTTGTATTCCTCCTGTTTACTCAACGCAGTATGCAGGGTTACCATGTTTTGGAAGTCATGTTGTACGAGATTCACAACGTCGCAAGCTGAACAGAAAAGGAGCCATGGTGGGATGTGTTCCCTGCCTGTGCGATAACTCTGTATCACATCACTAGGCCAAGCCGTCTCAATCCGGTCTTTGACATGTACGGTCACTTTCAATCTGTCAGAAACGTGTCTTCGCCAGGAGTGACGGCAGCTTGGCGGGGGTTCAGCCGCCTGGGCTGCGCTCTGGTAAGAGGCCTTGGCTGGTACGAGATGATTCGACAAACTACCGCCTTTGATTGCGTGCATATTTGTCTTTCAAACGCGATTGACTGTCCTCTTTTCGGGTCCCGACATGAAAGCCTGTCAGCTTACAGCGGTCACGGCGGCCGCAGGTCCAAGCCAGCGTCTAAATTCAACCCTGGCTCCTTGCATGCGCGTAAAGTTGCAATGGGGCCCTTTATGGTCCAGGCATCATTGTATCAGTGAGATTGATGATAGGCTGTTGTGACTTGAGCCGCACAGCTGTAAGGCGTTCAACGGCTTGTACTTTCGCTGCTGAATAAGGAACACCGTCACATCGTTCTCACCGATGAGGAGCGCAAGCGGCGTTGAGCCTTGCAGACGCGTCCCTCCACACAGGAAGGCTGGTATGTCTATTGGGCCGGCTCTTGCAGAACAAGCATGTGGTCGGCACTGCCACGTGTCCCATCAATCTCAGTGACTGGCGGAGTTGAGCGAAAATCCTACTTGCTATTTTCTAAACACAGCCCAGTAGGCACGGGCCTTTTGTCCACGGGATTTGAAGCCCTGAGAGATGACTATGTACGGCGTTTGGAGTGCTCAGGAGACATTCATAATAATTACTGGGGCAAAATACAACTAAGAGCATGCAAATGATTCGCCAGCCTCTAGATCAGAAGCGGCCCCTGAGCTACGCACTCTCCAAGTTAACAGGGAGCTGTGATAGCTCTTTCGGGCGCTCACAGACTATACATGACACGAGGACATGTGGTATGAGTGTTAGCATTTCATTCCATAATTTTCTTAGGTACGGAAAAGCAAAGTATTTAAAATCTGTAAAATACCTAGGCATAAACTCCAGTCTTAGTGACAGCAATTTGACCAGTTGTAGTTATTGAGACGTGTTGATGGAAGACAATCTTTCTTTCAGGACAAACACAGCCACTTCGCGAGCCACAGCCGTACTGCGTCTCCATTCAGTTCCCAGAACGTGTTGTATTCTCAACCCCATGACCTTGAATGCCGTCTAGGATCTTCCCATCAACTTCGACCGGCTTTGCCTCCAAGGTCACAAACAACATGCGCCCCCACTCCGTCTTGCTCATGTTCCTCCACAGGTGATTAGTTCCCCTCTGGACTGCCACATCGCTCTTTTTGAGAATCCTGCTCTCCCCAGAATCCAGAATCAGCTCGATTTCCCCTTCCAGCACAATGCCGTAGTCAAGGCTGTGCGTCCTATGCATGAGACTCTCGCCGCCTGGCCGCATATCCACGATACGCAGAACAGTCCCACCAGGATGGAAGATCCCGGGAGGGTTAGATAGAAAGGATGAGTAAGTGGCGATGTCAGAGTTGTCTGTGAAGTCTGCTGGAATCTTCGCAGTGGCGTACCCAAGGTGGAACTTGGACTTGCCGCCGACGATCTGGACTGGGAGCTGGTCTGGGATGCTGGTATTGAAGACAGACAGACCGCGGGCGTTGTGGTCAGTGATGAAGCGACTCGGAGTGCTAAGCTCGGGGGATTCTTGATCCTGAGCCTGTGCCATTGTGATATAATTATCGGTGATAGATGAAAAAATGAATCTTTGATATCAATGGTGACCTCGGGTATTTGAGGTCTACTCTTCTTGAACTGTGTAATGAGGTTGCCTGTTGCTCTCAAAATGAGTTTCCACGAATTAATGGTACACTCGAGCGTATTTGAACAATATCGTCGAGCCAACGTTGCAGATTCCGAATTCACGGGAAGAAAAGAGACGAAAAGATCAGAAGACAATAATGGGATAGGGCTAGACCTTGTGGGCACCTCGGATCTGCGAACCCCATCAGAGATTGATTTTTAATTCTGACCGCCTATACCAAGACTTTTTTTACCTCATGCCGTCTGAATAAGCAGAAATCAGGGCAAATGTTGAGAGAGTGATAAAAACACGGTCGACGATTGGGTACAGGGGACTCACTTGCTGACAATGATTGGTGCGACAACCAACACTTGCAGTAGTGGGCAAAGATACCCGTCTCTTCCGCGCGACACCAAGACCCTCATAACAACCATACCGTCTCAAAACGTCACAATAAGCACTAAAGCAGTTCATCGTTCCCGGCTCGGCGCTTTCAACATCTTGTTCTACCAAACAAACTTTTTTTTCACGGATGACAGCATAACCAGCCAGCCAAGCAGCTTCATCAAAGTACAATAGCGAGACTTCTAGCTCTCGATGAGTAATGAGAATATTGCATTTCCGTGGACTGTCCCTATCAATGCCTCTCGCATAGACTGTTCATTCCACATTCTCTGTCCAATCTTGTCTATTCCTCCCATAGAAAAAGCTCGAATTTAATCTTGCGACGGAGATAGCACCCTTGCCCGGTTGGTGAGGAGCAAGACAATTCCACGCTAAAGGGTTTCGAGGACTGTCCAAGCATCTAGTCAACGTAACGCCCAGGGTAACCGTGCTGGGATGTGCGCTCGCTTTTCTGCACATCACATTCCCTGAGGCCTTGGCTCACATTGGCTGATAACTCCACCATGCTCGGAAAATCGCTGGAGTAAGCTTTGGTTCGCGGTCGAAGGAGTCGGTGGACTGATGCCCGCAGTACCCGGGACGTCCGAGTTGAGACGTCGGGGATACATCTGTCATCGGGGATAGGCATTAATTTGTCAGGATCAACAACTATTTCAACACCGTCCGAGTATGAAGCATTTATAAATAACTTATGTGAAGTCATCACCACCTCAAGCTAGGCGATTGTGTGACCATATAATTGAGCAATATTGGAACAGAGGACCGCCGATCAGTACCGGCTAAACCATTGCCTCTAGAGCGTCATGTCTTCGACCCCCACGCCATCACTCGCTGCGGCGGACCTCTTCAATGTCAATGGCCTCGTTGCTGTTGTTACAGGCGGCGCGACCGGTAAGTTTCTAGAGCTAGATTCACAGTCATTTATACATACTCATTCGCACAGGCATCGGCTTGATGATAGTCAAGGCTTTGGAAGAGAACGGTGCCAAGGTCTACATCATCGGGCGCCGTAAGGAGGTGCTAGACAAGGTAGCCAAAGAAGAAGCGGTACGCTGAACTAGATTTCTTGGGCAGGAGCAACGAACGAATGCTGATGCTAGAGATAGAAGCACGGTAACATCATCCCATTACAGGGCGATGCGAGCTCCAAGCCGGACCTGGAGCGCATCGTCGCGCATATCACCAAAGAGACAGGCTTCATCAACCTCCTCGTCGCGAATGCAGGCGTCACAGGCCCTATCACTAAGCCCCCCACCACCACACCTCTCGTAGATTATCAGAAGGCGCTGTGGGACGTTGACTCGGCGGCATTCGACCAGACCTTCAGTATCAATGTTGGTGCCGTGTACTTCAGCATTGCAGCCTTCCTGCCACTCCTGACTGCGGGAAACGAGAAGGGCAATGTAGCTCAGAGCAGCCAGACGATCATCACCAGCTCGATCGGCGCGTACGGCCGCGTCCCCATGGCGCATTATGCCTACTCGGCTAGTAAGGCCGCTGTGACGCATATGGCGAGGCAGCTTGCCACCGCATTCACGAGACACAAGCTTCGATTCAATGTCATTGCGCCGGGATGTGAGGATCCCCGACACCCCGACCCCCACTCTAGGCATTCGAGCAGAGGTAAGCTGACAGGTTGCAGTGTATCCATCCGAAATGACAGAGGGGATTGTAAAATCCTCCGAGCAGCTCACGCCAGAGGATTATGCGCTGAAGGTTTCGCCGCTAGGCAGAGCTGGGAATATCGAGGACATGGCGGGCTGCGTTCTTTGGCTTGCGTCCAAGGCGGGCGCATGGCTATCGGGGAACATTGTCGTGACAGATGGTGGAAAATTGGGGATTGTGCCCTCGTCTTATTAGAGTCAGATTCACGACATGTGCTACAATGCGAATCGAATTGTATAACCAGTGTTCATCCCTGAATATATAAGTTTCAAAAATACCTACTCATCGACTTGCCAGACGGTCCTTGTGTTTGACAGCACCATGGAAGATATGAAGATATGAACCTCTTCCTGCGAGTTGAGCATAAGTGCTCAAATTCATTTCAAATAAATTGAGACTGATCTCGATCATATCAAATCATCTGGAATTGGAGAAATGAATTTCGTAATTATTTCACCCACTACGAACCTTCAGTCCTACAGAATTGAAATCTAGAAAAATGAATTCCAAAAAAAAAAAAAAAACTGTCTAGCCGTAGCGACGCTTGCTGATATCATAACCGCCATCATCGCAAACCCGGTATCTTTTATCATAACAACGCGCAATAAATGATACAACAGAAAGCCCGAAGGCATTATCAGTACTTCCTTGGTACATGCTCCACGAATTACCGATTCAATTAAGGATAATGGGATCCTTGCCATCCCACTCGCTCTTCTCAGCGGCATCCAGAGCAAATCGTGCCACTGTTCCCCGCGAAGTACTCGCCGTCATCCCCACCATCCCCTTCTCAGCAGGCCACACCTTGGCCTCCTTCTTATCATCTCCATCAGTAAGCCGCCCGGGCCGCAGAACGACCCATTTAACGCCGTCGCCAGCGTTTCTCAGCTCCTCCTCCGCGGCGTCGTGGTCCGCGTACGTGAGCTTGACGTTGCTGTGCGAGATCAGGGTACGCAGCACCCAATGCGCGTTGGGCCCGGACTTCCCGACACCTATCGCAGAGACATACACCACTTTGGGCTTCTCAGCCCAGCCAGCAGTTGTCTTTGCAAGAACGGAGAGTACGTTGGCAGTGCTATCAGCCATCATACGGGGTGGTGAGTCGGTAGGGTGCGGTGCCGCCCAGGGATTTTCAGACGTGCGGCGCGAGTTCAGAGCTGAGATGACCACAAGCTTGCTGTTTGGACTGGCAGCTGTGTTGATGGCGTTGGTGACATCCGAGACATTGAGGGGCGACCCCTTGACAGCGGTCAGATTAGATTTCTGCTCAGCGGGCAGGTTGGCGGTGATTTCGTCTAGCGCGGACGGCGTGCGGACGAGCGCGGTGACATTGTGTCCGCGCTCGAGGGCTTGCAGTACGACTTGAGTGCCAGTACGGCCGGTTGCTCCGAGGATGAGGATCTGCATTGTGGTGGTTTCTGGAGAGGGGGTCTGTGTGGTTTGAGGCTTGGTGAACGCTAACGATTAGAGCGTCCGCTTTTCTGGAACGAGGGGTCTGTTTGAATGCTATCTTGAGAGGAAATGCCCTGAGTCTCACACAATTGACTTTGGAGGTGATGAGTTGAGGGGAACAAATCAGGTATATTCTGCAGACCCCAGGAGACTCATATAGACAACGTCGAGCCCGAATGTCAGCCGCTCTTTGTCCGGGTTTGTGTCTGGCCGCTTATAAATGCCGCTTACTTTTGCGGTTGGACGGCCGGCCGGACGGACGAAATGTTGAGGCTTGTTGCTTATGAATGTCACTCATTTTCGTGAGTGAGAAGCCCAAATCAAATGCATTGTTTGTGAAACCCAACAGGTTACAATGCATTGGTGGTCTCACCCTCCAGTCTGCCACACAATGTCGCCTTCTAGGGTCCTCGCATATACGAAATTGAAAGGGGCGCTAGCCAGATTACCCGAAGGCAGAACACAGGAGCTGGAGGAATAGGAGTTGATGAATAAGGAGTTGCACGAAGTCGAATTTTGATGACATGTGAATCGAGAGGCACAAATATTTTCAGCTGGTGGAGGCATTGAGTGGGCTTGGGTTGCTAAGCATTAGATTCAGCTGAATGAGAACATTACTAAATTGATAATCCCCCCTGATATGGGGAAAATGTGAGATTGGGGCTGGGCGTGCTTATGATAGCATTCTTTTGAAGTTACGGAATGGGAGACCATTTTCAATCGCTCTTGCAAGCAGTATACGAGGGATTGATATTGCTTCTACGCAGGATTTCTCGTTCAAAATGGCATCAGAGAATGCGCTTCGGAAGGGAAGAGAATAATAGTGGTGTAATTAGATATCAAAAGCTAGAACTCAGCGATTCATAGAGATATGCTTGCGGCGTTGGATGTTAGGATCTACCACGATCTACCTCATATCAGCTCAACCCACTTCAAATCGTTCATACGCCAGAGATCCTGGATCATGTCCATTTCCCTACTCAAGGGGGTCTCCTGATTGAGCATTCCACATTCTCCTATGGAACTGGGAAGGCATTCAACTGCCTACTTCAAAGTCACCTTCAAACCACATATGACATCAACTCTGGAAGGGGATACCGGGCAGGTACTTACTCAATGTTGAGTGCGAGTATGTCACATCTGAGGCAAGACAGCTTTTGATACTACTCAGTGGCGTAGAAACTGCGCCATGTATATTCAAAAACTACCATGAATTGCGACTTGAAGTGATTCTGGAGCAACCGAAATTGATAGAAGACCGGCCACAGTGTGTGAAATGTCATATAACTTGGATTCATGTTTCCATAATTTGTCATATCTCTTCTCTCGGGGTGTCTTTCTCCTGTTCACCTGTGAGGCGGAGAGACTGATTTTAAAATATGTGTATAAAGCTTGAACCATTTGGAAAAATTGATTTACGGACCGCTTTCCGATTGAGTCTCTGACTTTGTCTCTAGTTGATGCGTTGCGTCCTTTGTCTGAGAAAGTCCTTCTGAATAAAATATGAACCGCTTTCCACTGGTCCTAAACTCAAGTCATAGAACATGGTCACAAGCTTTCTTACAGTAGCTTTCATACTGAGATTCTACACCTTTGCCGGATCAGGGCTTTGAGGGGTTCCATCTACACTTAAGCGAACTTCAGTAAAAATGTTAATCTGGCAATACTCCAAGTCTTTCGTACTGCCCGTCTAATTTTCATCTTTGTCAACCCTGAACTCTCTTCAGGGCTGTCATGGCTAGGCTCTTTGTTACTTGCAGATAAGTGAGCTAAGTCTACAACATGTAGTCCGCATAGCATCAAGTCGTTCTTAAGAATCTTCCACATGACTCGGCACCCAGCTACAAGCTTTCAAAATTCTCCACCAGGGCACATAAACTCTGGCGCTTATCCCTCTTTTCTTTGAACTCTATCGCTTATTCGATATTGCCTCTTGTTGTCTTGAACTTGGCTGGGCTTTGACTGGTCAGTGATTTATGCTTATTTAGTAGCTTCTCGGCAAGCAGTCCGAACCGTTCAGAAAAGTTATTCCGGAGACTTTTAGACTTTGCAGCAGCAGGATCGTTTTGCAGCATTCGAGACGTGTCAAATAGACCGCACGAACTTAGATGGGAACAGCTATCGCTCGACCTGGCCTTTACCATTGTACATAAAGTCGGCGCGCATTCGAAGATTCCTGAAGAACTTCAACTGTCTTGGCTACAAACATACGAACCTCAGGATGTCCAAGGCCAAGGTCTCGTCGTCCAAAGGCGGAAAGATTCAACTCCTCTGAGCTGACCAATGTCCAATTCATCGGAACTCGCGTACGTGCTCCGGAACGGCAAACCGCGTGCAGATACAGATCGACAGTTCCATGCAGAGAGCCTCCTTGCTGCTCGGAGTTTCCAACTCGGCCCACAGAACCTTACGCACCCGCCTGTGCCCGAAGCCAAACACAAGATGAAAGCGGCTCTGAGACGTGCGTGCCTGCAGGTGGGCTGGCACGCGCGTACGCACATCTGCTGCCGAGAGCAACGGTCGGACCCGTCTGCCCAACTTTGCTTGCCCCCCACGCGGGCGGCCCCCTCTCGCCCGGCGGGACAGTCGCTCGCTTGCATGACAGGTCGCTACGTCACGAGTCCCCACGGACCTGAAACTCCATCTCCTACAGTATGTACAAGAGTGCGCGAGTCAAAATTTCTGGGCGGTTCCGGTGCGGTTGTACGCTTGCTCGCACTCGCTTTTTCCTTGGGTACTTGCTTCTTCCGCTTTACTTTTGCTTGTCTGTGTTGAACAAGTCCTGTAGGCTGGAAATTTTGAATTCTGTGTTGTAGAAGTTGGTGCATTCAAGGGATGCAGCGTTGACTCTGACCACACAATGAGTAGAGTAGTTTCAACAGAAATACGTTAGGACAGTTGCGGGTCGGCTCTGAATCCGCGGATCAGGAGCGAAATACTCAGGCTTTTCCGGCAAGTTCACCAATACGCGTATTCCGCCACGTAGAGACAAGGGCGAGGATTGCACGCAGCGTGTAAAACTTGACGTTCATTCTAAATTATTCACAAACAACGAGAAAACAGGTGAAAGCAGTCGGTATCGCATCAGTCAGGCTCTGCTCTCACCGTATGTAGGTACACACACCACCAAGCCCTTTCTCGCGCTATGTCTCTCTCTCTCTTTCAGGCCAATTAGATACACATAAGAAAGTCGTATCGCGTTCGATCCCTTACAGGTGAACGTTGGCCACCTGCCTCTCGACCCAGCTGCGGACCCCACGCTTGTTGTTGTTGTTGTTGCCACCGCGTTGACGTCCGTTGCCTGTGGCAGCGCCGGTGGTAGCGCCGGTGGCAGCATTTCCAGTAGCAGCATTTCCGGTGGCGGCATTGGCATTTCCAGCTGCCGCTGCTGCGTTGCCACCGTTCTTGCCGCCGCGTTGGCGTCCATTGCCCTTGGTGCTGCCGGTGTTGGTGTTGGTGTTGGTGTTACCGCCAGCATTGGCGTTGCCGGTGTTGGCAGTGCCGGCTCCGCTGGCAGCTGGCGCAGCAGCCTCGAGCGCGGGGGTCTGGACGGGCGACTCCTTGATAACGGGGTCTGCAATGTTGAGAACCTTCTTGACAGAGGCGTCATCGGCCAGGCCCTGCTCGCTTCCTTGCTGCTGGTTGGCTGCGATGGCGGCGGATAGGTCCTGCTTGTTCTGTGCGACCTGCTTGTCGACTCCGTCGAGGGTCTGCGCTGTGGTGATCTGCGAGGCGACATTTGTCTTCGTGGCAGCGCCAGCTTGCTGGACGGGGAAGCATCCACCGAAGGGACCGGCCAGGGCGTTGTTTCGGCAACGGACTGTGCAGACGTTTCCAGTAGAGGCTGATAGACTTGTTAGTTCTGTCGCTTTTCTGTACACGGATTTGTACAAAACTCACCTCCAGTGCAGTTCATGTCGGCGGGCATCTTGACAGTGATGTTGAAGTCCTGAGTCTTGGCCTGGGAGAAACCGTTGGCGCCAGGCACGTTGTTGCTCACTTCGAGAGGAATTTGGCCGGTGGCTCCCAAAGAGTTGCCAGTGGGGTCCATGTCACACTAAAGTTGGTGATCAGTCACTGATACTGAGAAACATGTATTCACGGGATAACCTACTGTGTAAGGGCCGGCACCGTCAGCGTTGACCTGGTGGATCGTGACCGTCATCTCTCCGCCGGGTGAGACCTGAGTAACAGCATTGGCAGCGAGGGCATTCTCGGTGTTCTCTCCAACGTCGATGTTGCCGCCAAGCTCGGTACGTCCACACTCGTTGACGATGTTTGCGGTGATCTCGGCATCACGGATCAGGGTGGCGTCTTGCTGGCAGGGGCTGATGCTGGTGCAGTTTCTTGCAAGCTCGCCCTCGACTATTCTCACTGTTAGAAACACTTTTGATCCGTCTCTTGAGTCTTGGTGGAATTAATTCGTACCCAGGAAGCCGACCGAGGCAGGCGATCCAGCGTCACCCTGTGCGTTCAAAATCTGCGAGTGGCCATGAACCAGGGTCGCAACAGCTGCGGTGAGCAGTACTCGGGTGAGAGAAGACATTTTGCCGGAGTCGAGAGTTGAAGGGATCGTCGAGGATGGAAGAATGAGTTAAACACCACTTATTTCCCAAACCGGAGGAGAGGACAAATGAATGAGGCCCAGCCTATCGAAGAAACAAAATTAAGAATCGAAAAGAAAATTAGGAATCGTCAAGATCCTTCTGAATGAGCGATAGAACAGTGGCTGATGTGAAAATGACAAGATTTACTTCCAGTCGGATGACAGTGTCTACATATGTATATGTATGCAGGGCTGAGTCGGGCAGGACGCTTGGGCGTCTGCCTGCACACTCGCACATCTTGGCCATGTTTGCCAGGGGTACTACGAGATGCTTAGTCCAACCAAGCGAGTCTCGCCAAGGGGGGCATTCTACAGGCACAATGACTTTTCGAGCCTTTCGAACAGACTCCGTCACAGCACGGTGGAGCGTGCCAGGCTGGCAGCAGGCGGTTGTGGGTGGGCGCGATGTTTCGATATCCCAGGCGCAGGACATAACGCCGGCTATAGGGAAGCTTGGTAGCGGTAATCGAGCCATGTTTGAGGGAGTTGCAGGGGCACAGGCGGGCGCTGGGGTGCACCCTGGGTGCCAATCTCGAAGATCTTAGGATGATCCAGCCATGACTATACCGCGCGTCCTTACTTCAGCCCTGCATTACTGAACTAGTCTGACAAGGGCATTCCCGCGGGCGGCAATCTTCGCGGTGTCGCAAACCGAGGCAGATGACACCTACCACGCCCAAAGGACAATGTACAGGGCCACAATTCGCATCATTTCTTGCAGGTTGATGCAGGAATGGGACGTGCACCAGGAACAAACCTCGGAGTTCGCCAAGGACCCCCATTTGGAAACGTGCGTGGGCAGGGGGTTGTTGCCGGGGGCGCCAGAGTGGATCACCATCCGATGGGTCTCTCTTTTTGCCCGATAATTTGCCTGCCTGTCTTTGCGTACCCGTTGTGCCGATGTTTGAAGGTGGCTTGCGGGAAGTGACAACGGACATAATTGAGACGAGTCTTTGTTTCGATAGCTTAAGATACGGCGGATTACTCGAAATGGACGTGATGATGTTGACTTCCCAAAGGCGTGAAAACACGCGAACATAGCAATGGCGGCTCAAGCTCACGAGGACACTATCAAGTTGCAAATCACACAGGCCAGACGCTGGGCATGAGCTTACCTGAAGTCAAGCTCGTCAAGTTCCGGATCTACTGTTCTGTAAATCTGCGTAGGGCAGGGGTGGGGGTCAGCGCCTGAGGACAGGGCCAGCGGCCAGGAGGCAGGGGGAGCAGGGGAGGGGAAAAAAGAAATGCGCGCAAGGAACTTGAACCACACGCCGAGCTGCCCAGGGCCGCCAGCCACAGCGGATTGCGCCGCTTGGCAGTACTAGAGCGATATGCAGCAGGGACAGTTGGCGATCATCGGGAAAATCCTGCGCGGTAGTTGGTTTCTGGTGGGTGGGAACCGGAAACGATAGAATAAGTCTATTTGTCCCCAGCTCGTATGTTGGCTATGGCACACCAGACAGTTGGCGTAAGAGACGGGCCCCTCCCAGGAGGGAGACATGGGGGCCCCTGAGGGGGGATCCGCCGAGCTGCCCCATTGGGCAACTTAAACTACTTGCGGCTGAACCCAAACGAGACCTCCTGTCAGACCCACTGCCAGAACAATGAGACGGTTTCATCTCATCGTCAACTCACCTCTCCATCGAACCATAAATGACGATGGGCCTGAACTCGGCGGTTCGGTGTCTTCATTTTCTTCGTCTCTTGATGCTCTGCTTTTTTGCCGTCTCTGACGACCGACATGACTTTGGACGGCCGGCTTGTTCATGCCCTCCCGCCGTCGGTCGATGTCGACGCTCGAGTGCGACACGGAGGAAGATCTCAGGAGCATCTCACGGAAATCTGCCGCAAGAATGGAGCTGGCCGGAAACATGCATTTCCTATTTAACCCGTAATGGCATATCGAAATAATACACTATTAACATCGGTCATGAGCAAGATCGGAAAGGCGTAGACCAAAAATTCTAAGCGCGCAATCAAAAGTCATTTGAATAGTCTGAGACTTCGCCTCTTATGCGAGCAAGTATCGTCGCGCAAAAGTGGATGACAAAATGATGAGCATTGTGAGTGGAGGAAAGAAATAACTAGTACCACGTTTTGCCTAAGTCTTGGCTCTCGCCTGAACAACGAACCCCCTGCTGCCCCTTATTCCTTCCAATGGTTGGTGTCAAAAGTTTCCACTCGCCCGGGCTGCTTATCTATTTCGATCCATGGCTCAGAGGGAGAAGGGGACGAAATCGGGAATTGAGAAACATAGGCCGTCGTGAAATCCGACACTTCCCCCAGTGAAATGTGCGGATCCGCAGGCTCGCTACCCACTATCCATTACAGCCGTGACTGTTCGCACGGCCATTGCTGATGCTACCGCCTCTGTCGTAAACGGTATCATCCGGTGGAAATTCGTCGCCACCAGCCATGCCATGCGGTGTGAGACGCTCCTCCAGGCCTCTCTTATTTCTCGGGGCCGCTGAGGTCAAGTGGGACGGAGAGCAAGCATGCCTCACTTGTATGTTCCCATAGGTGCTCTGGAACTTCCCATTATTCGGACCCCCACAGTAAGCGCCGTAGTCCTTGTCGTCTCCTTGCTCCTCGGGTCTTCGTCCATATCTCCGTAAGAATCTCTCGGAAATAAATGAGATGCATCAAACATCGACCCACGGCCGTTGAGGCTGTGGTAGAGCTTCAGAAAAGCGTGCAGCTTGGAAATTCCTTGTAATTTGGGCCAGCCCGCGGCTTGTTGTCTTCTCTGGGAGCGCCATAATTGTTCATGCTCAACTTGTGATTCTCGCCCACGTCTGCCTCTGCGCCTCTGGTTCTGAAGAGACAGTAATTCATTGCTTCTCGTCCAGCTTTAGTTTTACTTGGGCGAGCATGAGTTTCTTCCGGCTTCCTGGACTAGCCGAAAAAAGATCAATCATCCTCCGAGTTGTCCGAGAGGCTATTTGCTATGTCTAAGTGGGTAAGAGACTGGGCGACCTTGGAGGAATCCCGGATCTATCGACCGTTCCATCTTTGTGACAGCTTGCTTACTCAGGAATTGCATGAAGGAGCATAACCAATCCGGTCCGTTTTTGTGGAAGGAAGTATTGATCTAGATTTGCGCAGCCTACCTACCGCAGCATACCTTGCTTCTCGAAATGAGACCGACCCAGGTATTTGACAAGTCTGTTGTGATCTGGTTCGAGTCCTAGACTTCTGAAGGCATTCCTTGGAGAAAATTATTGGTCGACATCGAGTCAATGTCTGCCACGAAGACTTTCCGCATTCCAAGAGGATATTAGACGAGCCGCTGTGGAAGAAGATGCAATCATCACTGTCCGCAAGAAACCTGACACGACTTGGTCTTCAATATATGGCGCGATGCAAGAGGGAAAACTCTTCCTTCAGAATGCCTTGAAAGAACCGTTCTATATTCTTCTTTGAGCCGTGACTGGCCTTCATCAAACGCGCGGACAAAGTAGTCGCGATTCGCAACACTTGAGGGTAGTGTTGCTTGTCGAAGGGCATCTTATATCAGAGTATAGCCAAATGGTGCTGCACCGTTGCAACCACCATTCAGCCCACCACTAAATCGATTGCAAGGTGCTTGGTGAAAGTAAATGGACTTCATGAAGTATAAGCGTTGTACAGTATGTTCACCGCTGGCTTCAAATAGTTCTTCATGCTGACAAGCCAATACGATACAAAGCGGTCCTGGACTCGTCCAACAAGAGTAGTCACGACGTGTGAGATATGGTCCAGTCATCTCACCGGCGGAATTATGGCAATTATTTTCCGAACGCATGTTCAGTTACGACGGCCCCGAAGAGCGATATAAAATTGATAGTGCAACACACCTCGACTGTTATGCTGTGGATTGGAATCTCTTTCTTACTTGTCGAGAACCCGGGCTTCGGGTCAGGCCCAGTCACTCTTTCGCCATGAGAGATTCCTCACTCAGATGAAACAGGGAAATCTCGACCTCAAACTGACGAACGCCAAGGTACATTCGGAAAAAGGAGAAACGATCTTGGTGATGTCCATCCTTTGCGCTGAACTGTTCGATTGCCTGCTCAGCTTCCGGCTCCAGCATGTCACTGTCCATTCCTTCTGCGGCCGTCACACTGACTTCGAGAAGGAGCCACATCCGGGCCCATAATGGCTCATTCTGCGATTAAGTCTCCTAGTCTTCCTCAAACTAGTAAATTATGGTCACTTAAACCTCGACTTCCTCCACGATCGGAGCATGGTGGAAGCCTTAAGATCTCGCGACTCAAATACCATGTGCTACTGGCTTCCCGAGCTTCCCTATGGATTTCGAGCGAACACGCAAGTTCTTCACGTAATAGAGTCAACCTGGATGCTGGACCCCATTTCAAAAGGTTGGGAGTATTGGAAATGTCTTCGATGCGTTGCTCCAGAACAGATATTTGCGTGTTTTCTCCAAGACCCTGGCGGTCAACTCTTGAATGTGTAGGATAGACGTGTAATGCCTATCGGTCTTCAAAGGTAGGCTAAATCGTATCGTCACATTGTCAAGTTTAACTTTTTAAATGGCTAAACTAGAGAGGAACGGTGGAAAACGTCGGATTTGTCATTATTACCTACGAATCGGACGAATAATGGTCATGTTGAGGCTAAGAGGACAAATTTGTGAGGTTCTCATGCTCATTTTCCTTTTAACGTGCCTGTTCACATACTCCATGGATATATTTCATCAGTATTGCTTCACTGTCAGCATTTCGTATTTCGTCAAGTTGTGCAAACATTCAAAAGCATTTTGATTTGCGGCAGCAGCCTCGGAAGGTATTTGTTGAAAATTGTTGTATCCTCCCGGGCCGCACAATCAACGTGCGTTATCATGTTGAGGGTGGTTTGTCTATCGACACAACTGTAAACAGCGAGGTTCTGCTGTATCAAGGCGCACGCAGGGAGGTTTGGAAGAGAAAATGATTGGCGGGCCGGCCCTCCTTTTCAGCTGATCCTGCGGCCTATTTTTATGGCCGCTAATGACTTCAGGCTTGCCAATGATGGGTCGACGCTTGAAGAGGAAGCCTGATCTCCCCGTCGCAACATGCTAACAGCTCGGAAATTGCTCATGAGATTGTCAGCTGGCTCTGCTCTCACTATAGCAGACGTTTATCCTACTGTCGCAATTGAAAACGACATTAATTGAAGATTTCGGCGCAAATTTCCATGATTGCCGACGACGGCCCGTGGCTGCCAACGTCGTACTGTTGTGGGTTCCGAGGCCCACACCATAAGCACTTAAGCGATCCATCGCGACAGCTCCAGGCACACCAGCAACAGGGGATTGCGAAAAGCGGAGTCAGGTGCTCTAAATGAAAAGGGTCGACATCGAATTCTCAAGCGCGTAGTCAGGAGGGTCGCATCACCACATTACCAAACAAAGAAATACACAATGGATCCCCGTATGTGCAGACTGTCCATATTTAATGCAAGCCAACTTTGATTTCTCGCGCTTACATGGTCCGCAGTATCCATCATCGCGAGCCTTAGCGGTGTCCTCGCCTTCGCGGCTCAATCCACACGCACTCTCACCACACTAATCACCGAAATCAGAGATGCACCCAAGGACATTTCCGATCTCCGGGTCGAGCTGGAAAGCCTTTCAATGCTACTCCAGTCCGCTCAGAGTCTCACTACCACCTACACATTACGGAGCGAGGATGCCGTCATCGCCCAGACGCTCACTCAGTGCACAACGTGGTGTCAAGAGTCGATGCAGGACCTTCGCGTGGTCATCTCTCCATTTGCTGAGGCAGGCAGTGCCAGGCGGAGCCCCATGAGGATGCTCAGTTGGATCATGCACAAGGAAGAGGTCCGAAATTCTACTGCGAAGCTGAGAGACCGCAAGGCCAGCTTCAATCTGGCAGTCACGGTGTTGAACGGGTAAGCCGAAGTAGAAATCAAAAGAGATATACTGCAGCTAACGAGAGCCTGCTGGGTGCAGCCATCTGACGGGTAAGGCTCAAGACGAGATACGGCAAGACATTGCCGCAGGTTACGACAGAATGCTGGGCAGTTTCATCAATAACGCCAGTGCAAGAAAGATTAGAAAACAGCTCGAGGACGACGTCTCCAGCATTCCAGAGGAATCACGGCGAAGGTCGACAACGGAGCAAACGGATGCCGGTTTCGCGATGAGGAAGTACTTGGAAAACTTGGACATTGCCTCGGCTCCCGAAGAGGCCCCTCACACAATAGATACCAGGCAAGTGCACTGCATCTCTTGTCTTGACAGTATGAGCTAACGATCCGCTATAGTGAGCCTGGAAATAATGACGATGCAATTCCATTAAGATCAGAAACACCCAGGCCGCTCGTGCAAGCGGTTTCCGCGGGCGACAAAGCAGCAGTGATAGACCTACTCTCCAAGGGAGCCCGCGTGTCGGAAAGAGCAGCTGGGGGTGCGACGGCGCTACATGTCTGCGCAATGTACGACGACCGGGGCATAGCTGAGGTTCTGATCGAGCACGGCGCTGCATTAGACATGAAAAACGACCAACGCTTGACCCCGCTCGATGTCTGCATGCAAGAGCACTCTCAGGATGTGGCGATCCTCCTTATCGAAAAGGGGTGCCGGATGGGCAATTTCTCGAACAGGGTCCTCGACGTCTTGCAAGAAGCCGAGGAGGATGACTGCAGAATGGATGCCGTCCTGGAGGCTGTGGCCAAGAGATATGAGGACACTGGCGGTGGGCCGCAGTTGCTGCACGTGGCTCTGGAGCGGGAGGACTCGAACGTGTTGGTCAAGTTCCTCGAGCTTGGCTTCGATCCTAACATCTCGGAAGACGGTTACAGGCCCATACACCAGGCTGTTGTGAGAGATCGGTTGGAAGACGTCAAACTTTTGATCGACAAAGGGGCCGACGTGAACGCGATACTCCCACCTAGTGCTCTCAAACCCAGGAGGACAGAACCCCGCCACAAGCTCATAGTGGAGAGATGCGACACCCGCGACTATACGGCTCTTAAGCTGGCATCGGACAGCCTGCCTATGACAAAACTGCTTCTATCTCATGGTGCCGATCCTAATGTCGTGTTTCCAGTTGCTCGTTAGTATCCCCGACTGTTCGACAAGTATGCTTGCGCAAAGCTGACAGAATCTCCAGGTGACAATGCCCTCAACTGTATCTGCGCAGGATGGTATCTGCCAGTCGCATTGGAAATCATCAAGCATGGCGCCGACGTAGACTTTCAGAATTCGAACGACGGCTGCAGCGCGCTATATTGGGCGGTCCAGTGTGCAAATACGGGATTGATCAACGCTCTTCTGGACAACGGCGCCAACCCCAACATACAGACATGGGAGAGAAATGGCGCGTTCACACCGCTCCATGCTGCCGTGAATAGTGGGAGATACGACGAGGCTAAAATTTTGGTTGAGAGAGGCGCGGATCTGAGCATTCGCGACTCTGAAGGGCTCACGCCACTGGAGAGAGCGCGCCAGTCGAATAGTCTTGCAATGGTGGAACTTTTGGCGTCACATACGAGCCTTGACTCTCCCAGGACTACGGCCCATAGAATCCATTCAGGCCACGGCAGGGGGAATAGGTGATTGCTGCAAGGCAAAAATAGAAGTCAACGCGATTCCTTAAATAGCATGAACACGGCAATATGACCGATCATTGTAAAGATGATACGAATCTAGTCTTCTCAGAGAATCAGTCGTCCGAGTGCGAATTTGTACATAATAACAGCTTACGACACAGTTGACTACTTGATTTTGAAATGCTGGAATCAATTCAACATCAGGGCGACGACCTTGGATCCTATGCGTCGACCCTAGACTCCAATATGAGCTCACCGGTAACCAAGAAGACAAGAAATGACCATCATGGGTTCTATTGTGCACTAGCTGTGTGCATTCTATAATCTCAACTCTCTTAGGACTAGTGACTGGGATTCTTTGTCTCCTCCCAAACCAAGAATTGAATCGAGGTTCCTATATCTGTCTAAATTGACTATTGTGAAATTTCCAACCCCCTTTTCAGTGACCTAGCTGGGGACAATCGCTTGCCTCTAGCGAAACTCTCCATGCAACAAGTCACCACGGTATTCATACCTCCACAACCGGGCCTGAATATATCTTTCGAGCCCACACTAGGTAATATAATATACTGAAGATGATGACGGTGCCAAAGACTAGAACTGCCCAATTCATAGTAGCGGCATCAGGGTGATTAACCGCCGGCCAAAAGGCGAAGAAGAAAATGAAGATCAGGTAAGTACAACAGAACGCATTGTTGACGATGCCAAATATTCCGGGAAGGCGCCAGGGCCCCCATATCAGCGGGGAGTCCAGGGCATTGGCAAGATCCAGGTGGTCGTCTTCTGGGGTCGGCAATCGAATAGCTCCGGTAACCCGACGGTATAGCAGTAACGAGGTTACGATAAGATATGACCCGAAGAGGCCGGCGATAGATATAGATATTACACCGTTGAATGCGGTAGCATTCCCTATATTGACGAGAGAAAGTATGATAGCGATAATTGTCGTCATTATAACAGCGTAGATAGGGATGCTGGTACGGGGGCTCGTTTTGGAAAGAAATTTCGATAAAGGAAGTCCGCGATCGCGAGCAAAGGACCAGTATAGTCGAGAAGTTGAGGCTAGAATACCCGTTGTGGCGCTAACGGACATTACGATCACGATAGCAGCCATCACCGTCGCCCCGGCGGTCGAACCTGTAGCAGATTGAAAAATAGCCATGAATGGGTATGAGGGGTTCGCGGCTAAGGCTTCATCGATATCGCCCATACAGTACAGTATAGCAATAAGCATCGCGAACCCTAAGGATCCGTTGATAGTTATACCGGTCAAAATGGATCTTGGGATGACGACAGCTGCGTTGCGGATCTCCTCGGCCATCTGTGATTGAAAGTGTTAGCCTCAGAACAGCGAAGAGTACCACAAATTAGAGCCAACTGACGTGGATAGCACCATCTGCACCGAGAAATGCAAAGACGTTCCCGAGTATGCCGACGCAAAAGGATAGTCCCTGCGTCTGCCACCCGCCTAGATTATACCAGGTGGCAAATACAGCCTGTGTATCTGACTTTTCTGTCGAGAGCCACACCATTGGCAACAGGACAGCAAAGAAACCAAGGATATGAAGAACCAGAATAAACCCCTCGAACTTAGAAAGAAGCTTTCCAAAGACAGTATTGATACTAAAGGCTGTAAGAACAACTGCCCAGAACAAGAGTGTACCATGCCAGTTCTCCATATTCGAGAGATAGCTAGGATGATTCAGGAGAATCAAGCCCTGTATCATAGTCCCAGTTACAAATCCACCAGAAGCGACGAGTGATTGCCAGCCAATGATGGTAAGCCAGCCTATTAGATATCCTAGGAATTTTCGACATGACTTCGGGGCCAAGATAGAGACCCAGAAATACTGCCCACCAGAAGTAGGAGCCATAGATGATAACTCGGACATAGTCGAGAAGACTGATAGCGTACCAGCCCATACGACGATGTAGCCATAGATCAGGCCAGCGGGACCACCACTTTCAATATTTAGTAGTGTAAACGTGCGTTGCAGAGGGTATGCAGACTAACTTTTGGAGTCCCTGAAGAAACACACTGTAACGGTGTTAGCTGCTGAAAGCTGGTGAACCATGAGATGTGGGGACGACATACGTGACGGTGGCTTCCCAAGTGATGAGTATGGCGCAACTGAAGCCCAAGATTGTCATGAACCCGAAGTTCCGCTTCAGTATGGGCTTCTTGCCTAAGCGGGCCAGAGCAATGACATCTCGAGAGCCCTGTAAGCCGCGCCTTGGTGGACCAAAGGAGCCCATCTCCACATTCTGTGGATTTGCAGCGTGTTTATGAGCCATTACCATCGTGCTGTCAGGGCGAAAACGAGAAGCAAGAAGCTTAAGTTCCGGGCATCAGCAGCTTCTGGGACCAGTGCATCAGTGGCATTGACAAGCGCTAAGTTTTTTGATTGCTTCAGATCCCAAGGCTCTGGGATAGCATGTGTGTTTTAAGACCTGAATTCAATTTGAGGCAACACGAAATTGTCTGATTCTTGGGGCCACAGGATTGCGTGGGCGAAAGGTTGAGGCCGCTGTTCCCTGTTGGCACACGACCCCTTGAAATCCTCACACACAAATCGCACAAGTTATGAAGTCCCCCTGAAGTAAATCGACTGGGCAGATTTGTGCAAATAAAAGGAGGAGCCGCAGGGCTCGGAGCTTCCACGCGGCGACGCTGGGGGCTGAAAGCACACGGGTGAAACTCCATGCCAATGATACCGATCAGGTGAGATTTCGTGGCTGAAGGAGCGGATGTGCCGCTTTCCAGTAAGCTGCAGGCCTCGGAACTCACCGGTAAGCAAAGATCCTCGCAACGGGTTCGACTCCAGTGGCCCAGAGCACTAAGTGTTATGTTGTGCAACCACACTGCAACCACACTTTGCAGACCGGTCACAAGACCTACGTCTCCATCAAGCCTGTACTTTTATGCCTGTACCGCTGCTGAAGATGTTCCGAGCAACAGGGGAGCCTCCCTCGGATGATCTGTCAGAATCCCTCGGAAATATCACATCGAGTTGGACTCGAGTGAATGGTTCGCCAAGGCTCTTGTCTCTGGTGCCCAGGCCCACACGGCGCCTATCGAGTTTGTAAGGCTCCAGGAGTTAGTGTCCTTCCTCATTTGTACCCTTGCAGCCGTGTCGTCCAGACAGTGTGTGCATCATATTTTGCTTCTTGTCATCAAAGACGCACCACACTATCGCAGTCTGCGCATGGATCGGAAGGCCTTAGTGGCCAAATAGTTAAGGAAAAGCACGGACGGCTGCATCATGCAGATGGGAAAATTATCTGTGCAGGAGCAGGCGGGTAGGGCATAAGCTATAAAAAGGTCCTCAGGTACGTACCCTGAGAGTTCAGAGCACTGTGTCATCATCCTGCAACTTCCGTTGGTGCATGTGCTTGATAGCAGGTGTACACTCGTTGTGATCACTTTATCTTCGGGAAGCTCGGTGAAACCTTCAAGGTTGCGAGTGGTGAAGCCATGGGTACGGAGCTGGAAATCACAAGCCAGGGCTTGGAAATGTGCGACCAAGACTGTCCTCCCGTCCCATCCATGACATATTGATCCTTCGCCAAGCGCATGCATTGCGCAACAGATCAATGAAGATCTTATATGGCGTTTCCTCGTCGTACATTGAATTGAGCCTCAAGCGTCGAAGTGATAGTTTCTCCATCTTCGCACTCCTCTGTGTTTGAGAGCTGGTCTTCCACTTTGGTTGGGGTCATACCAAGGTCAAACAAATTTGGACAGGATATCTCAGTCCACAGGTGACATAGAACCAGGCATCCTAAACCACCATCCCTCCTCTAGGTCCGATGTCCGCCTACACACTTTGCCCCTCAACGAATTCCGACTAAATGAGTTGGTAGCATCGAGGCAAGGAATACAGCTTGGCCATTGCTACACTGTAGGTCGTGAAGAAGGCCGGTCTCCAATGCTGGTCCTTTTGCCCACAGGAGCAGGCTTCCCCCCAATCCTCCTTGCTTGTCGAGAGACTGATCTTCCTCGAGAATGCCTCCTGGCTTCCGGTTTTCATGCAGGAGTGGGTAGCATTGAGCCAAAGATCAATAGGGTCCCAAGAGGACAAGAAAGCTCAGAAATCCTGCACAAAAATTGCATACCACCAACAATATTGTGGGGCAGGTACTTGTGACTGGTTCATGGAACATAACCTGCACGTGGCAGATGAACGCTGTGCAACTCACCCATGATATGGAAAAGCCAAGGCTGCAATTTTATCGAGGAACGGTCCTGGGATTTTGATCCATGCTTATAATCAGTGGATGCAGATCTGAAATTGTTATTCTTCTTACTTCACCCACTCAGTACCAAGCTTCATCACCTGCCATTTCTGGCATTCAGTACGAGGTCTCTATTCTTGAAATTATTGCTCAGATTGCCAAAGGTCATCAGCTATGGAAGAGCAGCGTCGACCTTGTAGCGAGTCACCATGAGAAGGAATGGATCGAAACTTCTCCCCCCAGAACTTGGGAGACCGAGATGGAGGACTTATATACGGAAGCAATCATTCATTCATTTATCATCCATGGGGAAATCGACGCTCGCGCACACACCTTTCCCATGGAGCAGGTTGACGCCAAAACTCAGGCCTTCTCCACAGGTGGTAGTGAATCAAAAGATGCCTGCTCAGAACCCCTTTTTTTCACTGCATGCCATTTTAGCTTCGCTGAAATGTCTTCTATCAATCATGATACCTAGTCTAATTCTCCTCCTGGCTGATGAGTCTCTGCATAGGCCAAAATTTTATTGCCCCGACTTTCTTCTCCACCTCTTCCCACTGATTATCCGGGTGATCATTCTTCGGACGTATATGGTTCTCCTGCAGATATGAGAAACCATTGGCCTCGTACAATGGTCTCCCTGGAGAAGTAGAGTCGAGAAAAATGTCGAGTTTGAGCTCATCTGCCTTCTTCATGCCCCAATTCAACAGCTGTTGTCCCACGCCTTTGCGTCGATAATCGGGATGCGTAAATAACACAAAAAGGTCTAGATATCCCCGAGATTGGTCATTGATTTTGATTTGGTACTCGAAATATGTTCAAGAAGAGAAAAAGAATTAAGAAGAAAAGAAAAAGAGTCTAGACTTGAATTGGCTTACAAATATGCGGCTTCTGTGCGGCTCGAGCTCTTGGAGCATCATATTGGACAATCATTTGCTCAACAAACTCTCGAGCACCACCTTCAGGGAACCAAGTTACCTCCAAGCTATCAGGCACCGCAAAAGGATTCTCGTTGTATATGTTCCAGAGGGCGGCCCCGGCAATCTTGCCAGATCCTGTATCGACCACTTTTCTCCAGTTGCTGGACGCATCCTCCGTATGCCAGCGCTTTAGCCTCGTGGCTCCTTCCTCGATAGCATTCTCTCGGGCCTGTTTGTCATCTCCGTGAATGGGGAACCAAAGATGGAAAAACTTCTGGGGAGGGTCTTCGTGCGATTCGAAGAGACATCTAGAAATGTCATGGAAGTCGGTCTCCGGGTCAATATCTTGGAGCTCGAGAGCCATTTGCGTGATGGGCGACCATTTGAATGGTGGAAGGATGAGGATGGCAATTGGACAGAAAATTAGGATCAGAAGGTCGATGTCAAGAAAGTCGGAAACGGCACAAGCTGCCCGACGCCGGTGACAAGGCGGGCAGATACCCCGAACCAGAGTACTAGCTCATTAAGTACCCTAGTGCCTAATAAGTTACACAGCATATGGAACACAGCTGCAACGGTCAGCGCCTGTTGGTGATGCCTTGCAGCTGGCCCCACCCACCACCTCATGGCCGCGTCGAATACGTGTATCGCGGCTCTCACAAGGCAGGGGATGGCTGTACGAGGGTGTTGTACACATGACGGCTCAAGATAAGCACGCGTAAGTTCATTTGGCGGTGAAACGAGAGTGCATCAATAATTTCGAAACCTGCATATGCAGAGGATTTGATGGTAGGGCCAAGGCAGGCTGCCCAGCCTGCCCAGGGCCCTGGGCGCTGAACGGTTTGCTGCAGAAGGAGAACACATCCTGCCCAGGTACTCTACTGTGAATAGAACGTGTCAGTCAGTCACTTCTCATGACGAAGTAGCCTTGGTCAGGGACCTAACTCACCATTTGGAACGTTTGAGTGACTGCGTATGCTTTGCGCAGTGTTTTGCATGATGACATTGATGGTCCTCGCTTGCTGCCCTCACGGTGATGCCAGCCGCCTTGCGAACAAACCGATCTGCAACTCAGCCACCGTTTCCCTACGGCCCGGACCACAACCAACCGCGCTTCGACCAACCGCACTTCAACCAACTGCTCTTCTGTCACATTCACTTGGGTGCCTAATCAGCAGCACCAAAGTAGTGATATATGCATATATGCATAAAGAAGCACAACTTGAGGTGGGTTGCAATAAATACCCCAAATTGAGAGGTGGAGGAAGAGTAGTACAGCAGTCTGAGTGAGACAACAGAGGACTAGAAGCGGAACTCGCATTCTGGTAGGGTGCCACAGGCGGGCAGTGAGCGTTCTGAGTAAGAATTCATCGGACGACCAGAGAAACTGGCCCTGCTGTGGCATCTCACTACAAAAGGGAGGAATGACCCCTTTGAGCTTGTTGACGCCTCCTGCATTAGTCTGCCACTCTCACAACCCATGAGACATGGAAAATGCCAGCGCAGTTACGAATGTTCTGGTCTGGTTTCTATTTCTTACCAATTTTTTCAGCGTCTGCGCCCGGTTAGGAACCCGATATTTCGTCTCGAAAGAGCTGGAATGGGATGATGGTCTCCAGATTTTGGCTCAGGTAATCACCAAGCAGTGGATTTTCTTTCTACATCCATTGGAAAACCTATTGAGCACTTGTCTACACAGGTGACCTCACTGGGTCAAGGCATCTGTATTTCCATCGCTGCCTCCCATGGCCTTGGACAGTCGCAAAATGCCCTGACACAGGACGATCTGGATACCCTCGCCAAGGTAAGAGCCATACTCATCTCTTCTGCCTCCCGGCGTAGCCTGTGCTTTGGTTATGCTGACAGCGCCTCAAGGCTAACTACGCCAGTCTACCTCTTCTGATTCTGACCCTCGCCCTAATCAAATGGTCCATCTCCATTTTCATCACCCGACTAACTCCGAATCAAACTCACCTCTACGTGGATCTCGGCTTGCGAATTCTGAACGGCTTATGGTGGCTATCTGCGACATTAATATCACTGTTCCAGTGCACAGTGCCAAGAGTATGGGATCTCGTCCGTCGTGATCACTGTATTGATCAGGTATGTCGATGCTCGTCGGGCGGTCAGGTTCAGATCGTGGTATACTGAAGTTCAAAAGAGAGCTTGGTGGACATATGTCGCGGTGATCAACATCTTAACGGAAGTCGGAACCGTCGGGCTTCTCGTCTGGATCATTGGCATGCTCCAGATATCAACTTCCAACCGCGTCTTGATCCTCATAGTATTCATGACGCGGACTTTGTGGGTTTCACCTTTTTCTTGAAGCTGAGTGTCAGCTAATGGGGATTGTCTCAGGGTTATTGCGGCGGCAGCAGCACAATTGGGAGTCTACTGGAACGCTTGTGACAGTGAAGATGTCACGTCGAGTTTCTGGCTACCCACCATATTGAATCAAGTTGTGATCTGCACAAGTGTAGTCACGTCTTGCCTTCCATTCCTCAAGCCCCTGATGCTGAGCCTCGAGTCGGGAATCGCACGCGTCCCGGATGAGCCGCCGCAGGAACTGGCGTTCATGGGGAGTTCAAGTGGTGCATATTCTGGAAAGTCTGGAGGCAGTGCGAGATAGTCCAGCATCGTAGGAACCAATTTACGAGGTAGATACCCGTCACCCGTGAGCAAAGCATCGGGACTTAATGTGTAATTATCACGATTTCCGATTGTCTCGCAGGCCTGAGACTAATTCGGCTCTCGAGCACTTGCCATGTGTGGCCCCATATCCTCCCTCTTCGCCCCGCGTGCAGATCTGCGCTTTTAACGGTTCCTCCTGTTCTTCCGCACTTGGTAGGATCAGGGCACTTGATGGACGTTGCACCTTTCACCGCAGGCAGACATGAATCCTTTATCAAGCGGTTCCTGAAGACCCGATTCGCAATGAATCGACACCTTCATTCGAGAGGGGGGCTTTCGCCAGTATCCATTCGGGATCCTTCTCGTTCGGCACTTGCACATCGCCCAATACCTATGGGACGGTGGCTGCAGTGAGGTGTTGATGTGCGTGGGGGGTAGGGGGACGCGGCAGGAGTCCGCGAGTCCGCGAGTCCGAACCACAATTTTCCTTCTTTCTTTTTGGAGGGGGGCATGAATTGTTACATGTACCTGTTAGATAGGTATATATGCAAGCACTGCGTAGATATTTGTCCTACTCGAATGAATATGCACCGTCCATATTGATGTTCACACCGAGATCAAATGTCTACCTACCACATGCAGATGTACACAGTGCGGTATACCGTGATGCTCAAGCAATGAACTACTCTCGACCAGGCAACGAGCTACCTCGTGGTTCACTGCCGTCATCCGAAGGGGTGTGCTGCAGGGCGGCAGAGTTGACCAGTAACGCACTGGAACCTCAAGCCCCGGCACATGGTCTCCATCCTACTGATGTTTAGACTGCCAAGGCGTTCCGAGGATCCCATGGAGGAACGCAGAGCAGAGCAGCCCCTTCATATTAATCAAACAAGGACAAATAGCCGCTCAGCCACCAAGAATATTGGTGGGCAAAAAGCAAAATAAATAGACAAAAATTGCAAAAAGGATGCGAGGAAGACGCCTCTCAAGTTCTCGGATACGGGGAATCGAACCCCGAGCTGGTGAGTGAGAGTCACCGATGTTAACCATTACACCATATCCGACTACGGTGTGAGAACTGAAAAAATATCTGCGCGGGGCATTATAATGGCTATACAATTAGGCTGGAAAATCTTTTACTTCGGAGCGGAGGCGGGCTCCGCGGCTAGCGGTCTCTGCTCTTGCCTTTCGTTTTGATTGGCTCTCAGCGGGTGGGTCCCCACTCCCCTTGTAAGCAGCCAACCGAATTACACGCTGCAAGCGTCTTCACTTTGTGATGTGCGTTTGCTACAAGCAAAGTACAGTAGAGAGATGCATGAATTACCGACATATCCGCCTTGCATACTTCGACGCATCGAATCTTTGTCTAGCTACGTCTGGAACTTTGCGTACAGGTGAGTATGCAGAGTTTGTCATAAGTTGGAAGTGGTAAGCAATAGTAATTCGGTTCGTCCTCCGCAGCAACCGCGCACCAGTCCATGGATTTTGACATCCTTGAGCCTTAGGTAGATGTCAATGGGGAAGAGACAAGGACCACATCAAAACGAGATCATGGTAGATGAAACTTCTAGGTAACGGTGTATGCAGGGAGTCGATCTATTGACGTGCTTAGCATTGTAGCGTATATGTCCAAAAGCCAGACGCTCGTCATTGCAAGTTTCAATTTATGACGCCATACGAGCAATCGATGCATCCACCAGAATAAGGGCACTCCCTATAAAGATTGTACACGTCGTAGTCTTTGTCATATCTGGGTACTTATGGTGACATTTACGATCGAAAAGGTTCACGATTAAACTGGAAGGGCCTGATTGACAGCCTCGATCCCCTTAAGAACCCCAGCTTTCACCTGCTTATTTCCTTTCTTTTTCCTCATTAATGATACTTCTTTCATAGTAATTTGTAGGACTTAATTTCGAGGCCCGAATTCCTTCGTAATCTTAGACCTGAACGAGCAGTACTTCTCGAGGAAAGTACTGAGCATGATGCATGGAGCATCCTGCCGATCAAGAATCTGAGGATTTCACTCCTGGCACTGGAAGCTTTGAACAAGTGGGCAGAGAGACACACAACGCAGTGATCAACTAGGTCCGTGGCGGCTTCAACTTGCTGAGCCTACAATTATAGTCCTGTTGGATAGGATCTCGAGCTATTTCGCCACGATCTATTCTGACACAGAACACCACAGGCATTAAGCGGGAGAAGCCCTGCGACAAGGCATGTAATCACAGCATCCAGTACACTGGCCACTAATTCTCCCGATGTAATGTTTTGATGAGTATCTGGCCCGAGTCGACAACAAGTAGTGAAGGCTGGTGACTGCTTGCATATGCGTGTGCTTAAGCTGGTTCGGGCCCAAGACAGAAGCCCAACATCATCTGGAATGCAAGATCTTGAAGAGTGTTGCTCCTCCATATTCCTTAATATGATCACTCATACGATACAAATTTCGCTGTCATATCCATCAATATATTGCCCCGAAGTATTCCAAACCGAAGAAGCGAAGGCAGCCCGAACATCCTCGCTTTGGCAACTCGGTGGTCAACGAGCCCAAAAGTGACGTCGCACGCGATCCTCAGTCTGCGCTCGGCCCAAAGCAGTGATACAGTTCTCTTCAATACACGTAGGCTAAAAGGTTGCTCATCACCCTTAGAGCCATGGGAAACGTGATTTGCGGAGTTTCCTTCTTGACCTTCCCACTCTGGCTTCCGTAGAGTTGGATGGGCAATCCGCGTCGCCGCCAGATCACCGGCCCAACATTCATGTAGCGCAGATGCACAAGATATGGCACTGCATTGGCCAGATGTTGTCTTTCGAGATTATTATTCGTATGCGCCGGGTGACCTGCTATGAAGGAGGTCATATGTGTCGTTAAACGTGAGAGACTGCAGATAACATTAGGTCACCAGAAAAGCTGATTCATTATATTAGTCGTCGTCAAATACAAGTAAAGAAAACTGCCATCCCTTCTATTACTGATTACATAATTCGACTGCCGAAAAAGCTCCTCGAAGCGCTCGTCATTTTCACATCACTAGAGGCCGACTTCTTGACAGCCGGTTTCTTCTCGATAGATTGTTTGGGGGTGCGTGCGCCTGGGGTAGGGACATCTACCGGCATCGGCGGTATCCTCTTCGGGTCCTTGCCGTGGCTGCAGAGTATGGCCTTGGGCTTCCGCGAGAACAGGCCGAGCTTGAGCATCATCTGTGCGGCCGACGCGCGCTTCTCCGGGTCCGGACGGCCCATCTCTTTGAGCGGTTCCAGGTACTCCTCCGGCGCGGTGGCGTCCCTTACCAGCTCCTGCAGTGTTTGGACGTTGAACTTGTAAGGGTTTGCGTTGCGGAACCCCTGGAAGTCGTACATCCAGATTAGGACCATGAAGAGGGACCAGATGTCCGCCTTCGGCGTCTGACCTTGCGCTGCTGAGAGGATCTCTGGAGCCATGTATAGGAAGGTACCCGCTGTGGACTGAGCCAAGGCTGCCTGGTTGCAAAGGCCAAAGTCTCCGAGCTTGAAGATAAGTTCATTGTGTGGGCTATAGGTGTAGAGGATATTTTCCGGTTTGACGTCGCGGTGAACAATGCCCATGGAAGCAACACAGTCCTAAATGATACAGGTGTTAGAGGCTGTTACCTGTGATGCAAGCCTTGCTGGAACCATGATGCCCATTAGAGCACCGGAAAGACGCGGAGAAGAATGTAATTCATACCAGAGCCTGTAACATGTGGGTGAGCATTGTGTTCGCGGTCTCATTTATGTAATGCCACGGGACCTCTTTCGCGTCGAGAAGCGAGTGCAAACTGCCCTTCATCAAACCCATTACGACTTGTGCCTCGGTGGCGTTTATGCTGTGATTGGAGCATATGTAATCGACAACGAATGGCTGTTGACTGTGTCAGCCCCTCAATGCGTTTCAAAGCACGCAATTCTCCAGTCATCCTCTTCTGCCCCTGGGGAGAAACCTGCTCACATGTTCGATTCTCCCAATGGCCTCGACCTCGCGTTTCAGGAGTGCGAAGAAAGCTTCCTTGTGTTGATTCTGCCGTATCTTCACAATCTTGACTGCGATGAGCCTACCGGTGTCCACGTCAACAGCACGGAGCACCTTGGTAGTGCGTTAGTATACTTGACCACAAGTGTGGCGGCCCGTCATCTAGCAAGCGATATGGGTCTACTGACCTGTCCGAACGCTCCAGACCCGATTAATTTGATCCTGGCCCATCTTATCATGGGTCTTTTAGGCAATGTTGAGTGAATCCTCGTTTGGGGCATCGTCGGAACCACCGTTTTCGCATTGTCCGAATCGGTCCGGGCAAATCTTGGGTTTTGTAATAGAGACTTCAAATCTCTCTTCTCCACCAATTCCATGGTTTTTGGAGGTTGGTAAAGCCATTCTATCCTGAATGTGATGAGATCGCGTTTTTCACCACCCACTGCGTTTCTTTAGGTCAGAGTTTGTTGTCCCCTTGGGTCGAAGCTCTAAAGAGAAATGGGTTTGGTGCTCCAATGTTTGAACAGCAAGGACCTAGAATGGAAAGGTAGCTTCACTCACTGCCGATGATGCTGTTGAGGTTAGGTTGCACAACAACTTTCCGGGAGTGCCCTGGCCGAAATGGCGTGGAATCCGGGCCCATGACTGAACTTGTGCCTCCTCTGGAATCATCGTAGAACATGATAACATGAGTGTCAAGATCGATTTGAAATGAGCATTGCTCTCGGGAATATCCGGTTCCCCTGAGTACAATATCACCAAGTCTTCCTATCGTCACAAGAGTTGTTCGATTCCGTGCTTTGGATTCAAAATGCCCTATGGCGAAGCGAGTAGTTGGGCCAGATCTATCTAACAAGAATGCATTCTCGGGGTCGTTAAGAACATCTTCAGCTTGTTTGTTGATGGGATGCAGGTAAAAAAGTATATTGTTTCGCAACATGTTTAATCGTTGGCAAGGCCTACAATGGACGCCAAGGGAACTGAAGGAAAAAAATTATACAACTGATCAACAGAGTAATAGGGGGAAAATATGAAGGAGGAGAAGGTGTCAACATGGACTGCCCCCATCAACCAACCTGAGCATTTATCAATGTTTTCCAACGTCCTTTAAGCTAATGACGGGTTGGCTGCAAGCGCTGTCTCTTCATGCCAAACAGTCGTTGTATCAGTTGGCCGAGGCCGACAAGTTGTTAGAGCTTCTACTTTTAGACGAACATGTTGGTGGCGTGTTGACATGTTGGTGACTAGAATGTTTGAGGCGCAGGTGGTCATGTACATGTACGGCGGTGATGTGATGCACCTGAAGTAGTGGAAGGGTCTGACTGGCTGATTAAACGCCAAACATGGATCTCGAATGGTCGATACGACTTGACCAGTACATATAGACTCCTTCTGAAGGGATAACCTCTTGTGCGGTTTTTACTCCTGCGATAGCCTTCTATGGGATATGATTTAACCTCCTGCGCGGAAGGTCCCCGTGGGGGCAAGCTCCGAATGCCTTCTGTATCTCGTGGGATCAACTGCTTTTTGCTCTTGAGTGCCTGGCCAATCTTTGGGATCCCTGCAGGGTGTACATGTGTTCCAACCGCTGGCGCCAGGGGCACCAACAGCTGTGTCCTGTTATGCGCTAGGCCCTGTGTGCACGACCCAACTAAATATAGCGCTCGCCTCGGCATCACTTCGCCAACGGGCAGCTTTACCAACAATACGTTCAGCACATGCCAACTGCCGCCTCCATATTCTTTCCTCCCACCTTTTCCTGATTCTCACACAATCCTATCGCAATAATCCACCGTTCTCGATCACAGGCAGTAAAACAAAAGCAGACAGGCACTCCGACTCTTTAATGGCCGCTGACACGATCAGAGGCGATGGGCTCTTCCAGGCACACGCGGCCCTCGCGGCCCTCGTAGAGGACCAAGAACAGTTCGACGAAGCCAGAGAACGACGATTCAGCCAGTCCCCGCCTTCATATCGGTCCAGATCGGGAACCACAACTCGAACAGACAGCCCAGCGCCTGTAGATGAGGCGCTGGACAATTACAATGCGCGCAGAGACAAGCTCTACTTGGACTGGCTTGCATCGAAGGCCGCCGAACAGTTCAACGCTCAGAGCCTCGAGGAGAGACGGCGCATAGAATCGACAGGCGAGTTTGTGGGGGCCGACAAAAGCGAGTTCGGTGTCGCAGCAGAACGGGTTAGAGAGCGCTGGATCGAGCAGGGCATCTGGGACGACAAGTGGTACGAATCGAACCGCGAGCGATGGGGTGAGCATGTCGATAATGTACCTCTATTGGACGCACCATGGATGCACGAAGTACCACTTGACGATGACTCGGACACCGACGACGACTACTCGCCTGCGAATTTCAAGTTTGGCGCCAAGAGGAAGCGACAAAGGACGGAAGAGGAGACGCGGCAAAAAGCTGAACGGCGCGCTGAACGCCAGCGCCAACGGGAATTGACGCGCCCTATCCACCAGTTCAACTACCAAGTTTCGCAAGAGCGCGAGCGGCTGCTGGAGGAGAGAGCACAGGAGACAGGCCACGACGATCCTATGAAGCGCTATCCTCCCGACATCAACACGCAAGCATACACGGCAGTCAAAGACAGATGGGTCAACGGGGGATTATGGTTTGAGAAATGGGGCATACTGCCGGGGATGACATGGCTGCATGAACATGACTTCGAGAAAGTGGTTGAAGAATTGCTGGGTCCCCCTCCGCCTCCCCAGTCTGCCGTTCCTGAGGAATCCGATGGTTCGCCAACAGGATCGCCATGAGGTGATGGCTGTGATCCTTTTCGATTGGTGGACTCTCCCCAAGGATGCCCGCTGAGCGAGAGGGAGAAAGGAGTAGACTTCGATTCTAATAACAGGGGTAAATAATAATTTGAGCGATCAGATCTCTCCAAGGACAATCCGACTTTTCACAGACAGTACGTCACTCACTGCATCCCATCTTGTGCTGACTATTGTTGACCCAGTCCCAGGTAGAATTTCTGTGATGCGGTAGGTCCTATGCTCAAGCATGACGAATATCAACGCATGTACTTATGGCAGGTTGATGTATGGATTCCGGGACATCGACAACGCGCACATGTATGGGACATAACCGCCCATGTTTATGTGACCCAGGATGGGAGGACGCGTACGCCACCTGCCTCTCGTGCATGCTAACCCACATTCATGATGCTCTGCTTTTCACGTTCCAGGTATGGCGAGGTTTCAGAGAAGGGCATGGCTGCAGGTCCTTGCGAGATATCCCACGACGTAGACTACGAGTATAAACTACTTAGGACAAATATATTGTCAGAAGCATTCTTACCAAACGGGCGGCATCCACACAGCACCCTTCAGTATAGCTACGAATCAAGGAGCCAGCAGATGGCAAGATAATGGCTCTCAGGACTGATGTCAAATCTACTAAGCGGGCAGCTCTCGGAATCGGCATCATTTGATGAGCACAGTAGTACATAAGCAGTACTTCCTCTACATAGACTTACTGCTGCATGTAGCCTGGACTCCCTCCGCCTGTGTCTGAAAGGCATGCATGCAAGGTGCAAAGCATACCTTTCGGGAGGAAGGACTACAGCAGGATAGCCTCCAAGCGTATCATCTCGAGTGGACAACCTCCGGTGTAATCCACCACACTCTATAGGGTGTTAGACAACCCTTCGCGTATAGATGAATTCTGTGTCGTGTCTTGTCGCGCTGCAGTCCCTTTCGGTACATGTTATAATACCTGGAGAGACTTGAGGATCCCTGCGAGCAGGAAGAGCCAGGTCACATGCGAGACTTGACACGTTGAGGTGATGCCACCACCAGAATCCCGCCAATTGGTGCGAATTATTTGGCCTGACAGCGTGCGTTGGTGGTTCGTGTGATCACGTCTACTGCCACCACCACGGACGCTCTGTACCGACGATGCTTTGCTTTCTTTCGGGAAGTACGAGCCTGCATCTGGGAGGACAACGAGAGCTCACGATGTCTGGTCTGGATTCGTCAGGCTCGTCAGGCGTGCTGGGGTGAGAGGATCCGATTTGACCGCGTCTATGGACCGCAGCTGCGCGTATTCAAAGGAGATGAGTGTACCGTGCACTTTCATGCCGCCGTGAGTGGGTCCCTAGCCCGTGATCCCTTCGCATGTGAAGGCCCGGAGCGGCAGAAGACTTGCTTATATTTTATTTTACTTTTCTTCTACTGGGCAAGGGGAGACGAAGGCTTGATCTTGGGTTACTGCACATAATTCAGGGGTCCAAGATCTATGTCTTCGGGCCGATATTGCCCTTCTGGACTGGCAGAACTGGGCCTAGGGACAGCGGAAGAGCGCCAACCCCCATGGTTCCCCTATGGAGCCCCGTCGGAAGTGGGAGAAAAAGCTGGGGACAGGACTGGTGATTGGCGCGGGAGAATGAGATCATGGGTCGGGGTTGAAGCTGCCGAGGACGACCCCTCCGCAGTTCTGACGCCGCTTTTTGTTACCCCACATCGATATAACACAACGGCGCCGCGGATAATTCGCACACTGGTGGTTCTGGAAGCTAGATGCTCGCCCAGGAACGCCCGACTGACTGACTGGGACTACTGGGACTGGGGACGGCGATAGCGGCTCGGGGTCACGTTTGTAGCCGACTTTTGGGGCGGGCGCAGCGGGTTTGGCGTGTTATCGTCGTGGATCATCATGTACTGGTCGCTTCTGAAATGTCCCATCCAAATGCCATTGGATCTCCTATAAAGGCCGGCGCCCCCTGTGAGGAACCACCCTACGCGTGTGACTTGACGATCTTCGCTACTGGGAGACAGTCTACGTGTACAAGCAGATAAAAAAGCTGGGTTGTGTCGCGTCGCAAGTTGACAGTCGACCTACTACTTGGTTACTACCTCCTCTGCCGGCTCCTGCCCCACCTTCGCTCATCGTCATTCAAGTCTGGTCCCGGTCCTGAATCCCTAGGCCAATTTCTCGAGTCTTCTTTCTTCTCTCTCTGTTCTACCTCTGACCTTACCAGACAATTGTCTCAATGAGCCCCTCGGCAGTAGAAAACGGAACGCCCTCGCAGAACGGGCACACCAGCATTATGGCTTCCAAGCCCAACATCGGCGTCTACACCAACCCAGCCCACGACCTATGGGTGACTGAGGCGGAGCCGACGCTGGAGAGCGTGCAAAAAGGCGGAGCGGACTTGCAGCCGGGACAGGTCACGGTTGCTATCAGGAGTACGGGAATCTGCGGGTAGGTCACTCGATACAAGCATGAGCACGAACGTGAGGCATGAATCACGAAACACACAAGGCGAGATGAAAAGAGGAAGAGAGAGACATTTAAAAATACAGAGAGAGGTTGCGCTCATTGCTGACGATACGGGGTGCGGCGACACAGATCAGACATCCACTTCTGGCACCACGGGTGCATCGGCCCCATGATCGTGGGCGGCGACCACATCCTGGGCCACGAGTCGGCAGGCGAGGTGATCGCGGCGCACCCGAACGTGACGAGCCTCAAGGTGGGCGACCGGGTGGCGGTGGAGCCGCAGGTGATCTGCAACGAGTGCGAGCCGTGCCTGACGGGGCGCTACAACGGGTGCGACAAGGTCGACTTCCTGTCGACGCCGCCGGTGCCGGGCCTGCTGCGGCGCTACGTCAACCACCCGGCCGCCTGGTGCCACAAGATCGGGGACATGTCGTGGGAGAACGGCGCGATGCTGGAGCCGCTCAGCGTCGCCCTCGCCGGCATCAAGCGCGCCCAGATCACCGTGGGCGACCCCGTGCTCATCTGCGGCGCCGGCCCCATCGGGCTCATCTCGCTGGCCGTCGTCAAGGCCGCCGGCGCGTGCCCCATCGTCATCACCGACATCGACGAGGGCCGGCTGGCGTTCGCGCGCGAGTTCTGCCCCAGCGTCATCACGCACAAGGTGGAGCGGCTGTCGCCCGAGGACTCGGCCAAGGCGATTGTCAAGTCGTTCGGCGGGATCGAGCCGGCGGTGGCCATCGAGTGCACGGGCGTGGAGAGCAGCATCAACGCGGCCATCTGGGCGAGCAAGTTCGGCGGCAAGGTCTTCATCATCGGCGTCGGCCGCAACCAGATCAACATCGAGTTCATGCGCGCCAGCGTGCGCGAGGTCGACATCCAGCTGCAGTACCGCTACTCCAACACCTGGCCGCGCGCGATCCGCCTCATCGAGAACGGCGTCGTCGACCTGTCCAAGCTCGTCACGCACAAGTTCCCGCTCGAGGACGCGCTCAAGGCCTTCAACACCTCTGCCGACCCCAAGACTGGTGCCATCAAGGTTATTATTCAAAGCTTGGACTAGGGCGTTCTAGAGTGTAGCGTTGATTATATAATAATGAATCTAGATCTGAACATATCTCGCGGCTGAATAGACCGTGAGGTGGCTGGGATAGTAAGCCATCGCTTCACCGGCCAAGACTCGACCACACTGGGCCAAGTTGGTGGGCTGATAACCAAGAGCAGAGATACCGAGTTCTCCCCGGTGGTCGAGTCAAGTGAACCATCTTACCGATATGTACCTAGAAACAGTATAACACTGGAGAACACTGAGAAAGACCCAGGGGACTCGGATTAGTTGCAGTGTACCTAGGTGGTCACGTCTCTTGCATCGTTCAATATGAAGTGATGAATATCAAACCCGAGTCAATTGAGTAGCAGACCAGTGACCGTTTCCCCCGTCAAACGGAGGCCTTTGCGGCTTAGGTAAGCCAGGCTCCAAAAGACCGCGGCTCCCAACTGCTCGGCAAGCCAAGGACACTGGAAATCAGCCGAGGCATGTCAAACGGCCGGTCACAGGCCGGCGCAAGTCTAGGTTTTCGACGTAACCGTCCATTTCAAAGAAACTCTGGCACTGCGGCTTTCCCAACAGGCATCACGTCTGACGGAGTGACTGCATCTCGGAAATGCTCGAGACCTAAATCTTTTCCCAACCTTGCGCCTTTCGTGGCCCACAGGACAGGACAAAAGAGGACAAGCACTATCGACGACAACAAACAACCGGCAGTGGCACAGCGCACCCCTGGTCCACCGTCCTCCGCATTCTCCCCTCACTGCAGTCCCATCCTTGCCCGTCCAACGTTCTGCTGCCGCCGGGTGGCGCGATAGAGCGAACTTTTCATTTCAGCGCTGCCTCCGTCTGCATTACTCGCCATGGCCTCACCTCCAAAGCCGTGGGAACGTCCAGGTGCAACAGCAGCACCACCCGCCGCAACCTCTTCCGCCGCCACCCCAACCGCCTCAACGACCTCCGCTGCTTCTCCCGCCATCCCGCCACGACCCGAGTCCCTGACCGCATCAGTCAACCAGAACGCCGCCGCATATAGCAGGATGGGTTCCACCGGCTACGGAGCATATGGAGCAGGCGGTTATCCATCCTCGTATTCCTCGTACGGGTCGCCATACGGCGGCATGGCGGGCGGCATCGGTGGCTATGGAGGTATGGGATACGGCGGAGGAATGTACGGTGGCTACGGCGGTTATCGGAGCATGGGAGGATATGGCGGCATGGGAGGATATGGAATGGGCGGCATGCAAGATCCCAACAACCCGGAAAGTTTGACGAACAGGGTCAACCAGAGCACCCAGGCCACCTTCCAAGTGCTGGAAGGCATCGTGGGCGCGTTCGGTGGATTCGCACAGATGCTCGAAAGCACGTACATGACCACACACTCGAGCTTCTACGGTATGTCAATATCTATCCAATTGGACCGAACGGTTTTTTGAATATCAGACGCTGACGTGTTGATGAAACAGCTGTGGTTGCCGTGGCCGAGCAGTTTGGAAACCTCCGCGACACCCTTGGCCATGTCCTCGGCATATACACAATAATGCGATGGATGAGGACGCTCATCGCCAAGATTACCGGGCGACCACCACCAGCCGACGCGATGGCCCTCACACCGGCCTCTTTCGCGAGGTTCGAGGGCCGACACGCGGCGGACGGCTCACCATCGCCCGCGAGGCCGAGCCGCAAGCCGCTCATCTTCTTCCTCCTGTTCGCCTTCGGTCTGCCATACCTCATGACCAAGATGATCCGGTCGATGGCCGCGTCGCACGAGGAGGAAGAGCGCAGGCGGCAACAGCAGCTGCAGGCGCAGCCGATCGACCCGTCCAAGCTCGAGTTCTGCCGCGTGCTGTGGGACTTCTCGCCCGAGGCGAACGGCGACTCCGTGGTCAAGGGCGTGGACCTGGAGGTCAAGAAGGGCGACCTGGTCGCCGTGCTCAGCAAGACGGACCCGCTGGGCAACCCGAGCGACTGGTGGCGCTGCCGGTCTAGGGACGGCCGCATGGGCTACCTGCCGTCGACGTTCCTCGAGGTCGCCAGGCGGCCCGTGGCTGCCATCAAGGCCACGGCCTCGCTCGACAGTAGTAGGGCCAACTCGCTCACCAGCAGTGTTGTGAGTGCGGTCCAGAAACCCATGGCGGCCCCCGAGCCGGAGAAGGTGCCTGTGCCGGCGGGCAAGCCTGGCGATATCACTGCCGACAGCTTCCAGAAGTCGCAGTTCTACAGCTAGTTTTTGTAGTCGTCGATGATGATTACGACACGATTTTCTTTGTCACGGACGGGATGGGATTGTAAGTTATGTGTGTTGGTTTTTCTTGAATGACGGTCCTCAAACACCCAAGTGCTCTCGCTTGCTTGGTGGGCATCAAAAGCTCGGAGTTTCGGGGAGGAGCATACGGGGACTCGGGGGTTTACTTTCACTGTCAATTGTTGGTGCCTGTTGATGCTGCCACTATATATAAACATTCCTTGAGGCTGTGGTCACCTCTGCAGAAGCGTATTAAATTGTGAATCAAAGCTGCAGTGTGTTGTTTGTGTGATTTGAGGCCTCTCTCTGCTTGTTCTCTTCTGCACTGTGTTGGTCTAGAACGTATCAATAGTGTAGAGCTGGGGTGGTCCGTGCACCTCACTGCCACTCTCTTTCTTTTTTGCACTTAGCCTACCTAGGCCAGCTAGGTGGGCGATGACGTTGCGGGCAACCTGGTAGGTATGACGGATTCACCCAGCCCAAGCTTGCCAGCTGCGGTCGTCAGAGCCAAACTGGCCACCTTTTCCTCCCCCTCCAACGCCTCGTCAACCTCTTCCCTATATCTTCCAAGACCTGGAATCTTGGCTACGACACATCCCCTTCGACCTCTTCGACATCACAATTGACCTCAAGCTCAACAGCAATTGCTCCCGGAGCCCTTCAATCACACAAAGACAACAACCCCACAGCCGACTCGAAGCTCGAGGAGCTTCACAACAATAGTCACAATGACGCTCTATTACACCTTGGTAAGTGACCTCAATGCCTCTCTCTTGAGAGCTTCAGCGCTCGGTGCCTGGTCGTCAATGGTCCCGCTGACAGTTTCCAACCCGCAGGTGTTCATGCTCCTTATGGCGGAGATGGCGCTATTCATGTTCCTCATCATCCCGATGCCATTCTCCCTCAAGAGACGAGTGTTTACGTATGTACCTCCATTAATGACCTGACAAACCGCATGCAGGATCTGACGGATGTCATGGTTCTAGCTTCATCTCCGAAAACCCCCTCGTCGCCAAGTTACAATACGGGCTGAAGATCACCTTCATCTTCATCCTGATCCTCTTCATCGACAGTGTCAACCGGGTCTATCGCGTCCAAGTCGAGCTCTCCTCCGTCACGGATGGCGGTAATAATGCGTACGTAAACCCCCCCACCCCCCACCATCGCATGCTTCTGTTTTCTCTTTTTTTCTTTCTCAGCGAAAGCCCACTTTGCCCGCCCCGCCTGCTCCACCGGACAGCGCGGCAGCGCGGCAGCAAGCACGTCCCAAGGCCTATCAATACGCGTGCGATCCAGCGCTAACCTTGTGGCCGCCCCGCCAGCAGACAAGCCATCATGGGCCACGAGCGCCTCGAAGTGCAGGCCAGGAAGTTCTACTCGCAGCGCAACATGTACCTGTGCGGCTTCACGCTGTTCCTTTCGCTGATCCTGAACCGCACGTACATCATGATCCTGGATGTGCTGCGGCTCGAGGAGCGGCTCAAGCAGTACGAGGGCACCGACAAGAACGCCAAGCAGTCCGAGAAGCTGTCGCAGGCGGGCGGCGCCGGCGAGATCGCGGGGCTCAAGCGCCAGCTCGCCAAGAAGGATCAGGACATCGAGACCCTCAAGAAGCAGGCCGAGGGCCTGCACCGCGAGTACAACGAGCTGGCCGAGAAGGTCGGCAACTCGGATGCCCTTCCCAAGAAGGACAGGTAGAGGACCTTCGGACACCAGAGCACGGCCTGGAGGAGATGGGACGTGCTGAAGCGCGCCCTGCGATGGAGAACCATCGAAGCAGCTCATTCATCCGGACCGTGTGAGATGAACAGAATTTGTGACAGGGCTTAAAAGAGAAAGGGGAGACCAGAATATTTCCCTCCCGCTAGGCTCGGCCCGCCTGGGATTGACGTGCAGATGGTGGGCAACGAGAGCGACAGCATTGTACGAGGCGCGATGGGGGCTCAGAAAGGGATGTTCGGTTTGGGAGCAGAAAAGTAGCAAGGTTTTGGGGCGCTTTCTATGAGTCGTGAATACCACGAGCTGGATGTTATCCAGGTTTTGATAGTCGCATAAGAGTGAGGGGATTCGTGTTGCATTTATTTTATCATGCCTTGATTTACCCACATTGTCTACTTTGCCAAGACTGGAATTTTCATGACAATGGTGTGAAGTGTCCGCATGTCTTTGATTCATTGAATGAGCTACTTGAATGCTCATGATAGATGTGGTAGGTTCGTGAGCGGCTCGTCCGAGAAAGACCTCAGTCCGTAAGTGCCGCTGTCGCTACGTCAACGATGACCTGAACCCATCTTACAGGGTCTGGTTCCATGGCTCCAATGAACCATTGCCTTCTTTGGAAGTATTGAACTCCCAGTCACGTTTTCTACATAACAATGCTGTCAAAGCTTTGTGGCATTCCCCATTGGCCTTGGCTTGTCCTACCAAGAGAAGGCACAGGCACAGAAATCTGAAGCTCAATCATTGGTCAACTTCGGCTCCAGCGGCCGCTGAGTACGTGTATATGTGACACGGCGGGTGTCGGGAAAGTCCGAACGTGCTTGGTGGGTCGAGATCGAGGTCGACCGGGTGGGATGGGGCCAAGAGTTCCGGGGGACCTGGCGGCCGGCCGATCGGCTGCGGGGGTGGGATAGGGTGAACCGATCTGCTGGGCCGGGCGAGGAGGGATTGCGCAATTCGTTCCACGGTAGTCGCAACCCCCGTCCAACTATTGTTGGAATCAGAATATCTTGATCAGCCCATATATCGCAAGCCCTTGAAGATCTTCCCATACATTTAAACTCAGGCATTTTTGAAAAGATATTGATTAATTTCAGCTGTGGGAAGGTTTTGTAAGTCAGGGAATAGGTTGACGACGAGAAGATGTCATTCAAATCCATCCCGGTGCTCGACCTGGCCCTGGCCGACGACCCAGCGACCAAGCCGGCCTTCCTGGAAGACCTTCGCTCGGCTCTCATGGAAGTCGGATTCCTCTACGTCAAGAACGTAGGCATCTCAGACGAGCTGTTCCGAAAAGTCATCTCACAGGGCAGGGCATTCTTCGACATCCCGCTCGAGGAAAAGTAAGTCGGTACGACTCATCCATCTTAGACAAATCACAGTCTATGATGAGTCGCTCACTCATCACTCACTCACTCATTTACTTTCAAACTCACACATGCAATCACCTCAGGCTCAAGATTGAAATGAAGAATGCGCCCTCCTTCCTAGGATACAGCCGCCTCGCGGCAGAGATAACAGCAGGCCAGATAGACCACCGGGAGCAGATCGACCTGTCGACCGAGCACCCGGCGCCGGGCCCAGACGCCCCGCGGCACCACAACCTCCTCGCGCCCAACCAGTGGCCGTCGGAGAGCGTGCTCCCGGGCTTCCGCAGCACGTACGCCGAGTACATGCGGCTGATGAGCGGCGTGTCGGTCCGCTTCACGAGCCTGGTGGCCGAGGCGGTGGGGCTGCCGCCGCGCGCGTTCGACAAGTACGTCGGCAGCCCGGACCAGCAGCACAAGCTCAAGATCGTGCGGTACCCGGACGCGGGGGAGCTGGGGCTCGACAACAGCGGCGGCGGCAGCGACGACGACGACAGCAGCAGCAGCAGGCAGGGCGTGGGCCCTCACAAGGACTCGATGCTGACCAGCTACCTGCTGCAGGCGAGCGGGCACCGGGGGCTGCAGGCGCAGAACACGCGGGGCGAGTGGATCGACTGCCCGCCGCGGGCCGGCACGCTGGTGGTGGCGATCGGGCAGGGGATGGAGGCGCTGACGCGCGGGGTGTGCACGTCGACGACGCACCGGGTGCTGAGCCCGCGGGCGGGGGAGGGGAGCCGGTTCTCGATACCGTTCTTCCAGGGCGTGGAGCCCGACACGACCTTCGAGGACCTCGAGGGCGTCGGCGTCGGCGTCGTGCCCGGCGAGGTGCGCCGGCTGCGCGAGGATGTGCTGCGGGCCAACGGGGGCCGGCGGCTCGATGATGTCGAGTTTACGTTCCGCGGCGGGGGCGTCGCGCGCACGCTGGGCGAGGCAACGCTCAGGAACCGCGTCAAGAGCCACCCTGATGTTGGGGAGCGGTGGTACCCAGATATACTTGCGCAGATCAGGGAGGAGCAGGCGCAGGCAAGAGTGTCGCCGCCGTCGCCGCCCGTGCCGGTGGGAGGTGATGGGCAGGGTCCTCAGGCCACGGCTGTGAGGGCCCACTAGTTTGAGAGTATAGTCAGGCAATGGCAAAGCGCCCATGAAGGCAGACAGATCCCCAGTTATTTTTGTGTGTTTTGAGGCTTTCATTATTTGTTCCCGTCCTCAAATTTCCAAATCAAAAAGTAGGATACGCCCCTCGCTCTATGCTCGTAACTCCGTCGTATAAAACCCCTCGGCCTTACCGCATTACCATCACTACCGTTGGCGCCCGTCAGAGACAACCACCTAGGCGGTGAAGTTGGGGAAACACTCAGTCAGAGACTTGGAGTGCTTGTTCTCGGCGTGTTCGGTGAGGCTGTTATTTGATACGGATCTGTTAGCCAGGAGAGTTCTTTGCAGAGCGGGTGCTAGATCGGGGGTTGAGAGGGATTCGCGTACGCAGGAGCACGAGAGGTCTTGAGGAAGGTCGAGAAGCAGACTTTGCACTGGATGTCCTTGGCCGTCTCGTTGACCTTGAGCTGGGACTTGGCCTCCTTGCCGGCGTTCTTCATGGCACGCTCCCGCTTCTGCGCAGACTTGGCTCCCTGTGTGTGTGGACATGGCGGTCAGCGGACAGTGATCAGCCGATTGGGGAGGGAGGGAGAGAGGGGTGATCGGCAGTGGAGGACTTACGTTTCCGCCACCCATTTTGAGGAGAGTGTTCTGGAGGGGTTGTTGGTGTGGTGGTTGTGAGAAATAATGTAATCCTGGGGTGGATTGTGGGATGATGTCGCTGTTGATGGAGATTGGGTCGACGAGGCTGAAACGGCGGGAAAAGAAAAACTGGCAGTCGGAAGGAGGGAAAAAAAGGAGCGAGTTTTTGGTCAGGCAGAATTCTAGAAGCCCCATCCCGTCCCCCTCCCACTCCAACTCCCACTCCCATTGCGCTGGACCCCTGCTGATCACCAAAAGTCTCGACCCTACGACCCTACGACCCTGCCTCGACCCTGCCCAGACTGGGAAACCCCGAGGGGACGCACGGACCACAGCCTAATTGCCTGGCACGCCTGGTCCGTTTCCGTTTTCTGTTTCCCTGCCCCAGGGAAGGCAGCACCAAGGGTCCACGCTGGTCAGCAGGAGCCTCAACCATCCACCGACCTGTATTAACTGGGTGATCAACCTTGAAGGGGGATATCAAATTCGTCACCCTCATTCAAGCATCATATACATATACATTCACAAACACAAGCACGAACACATATCATGCCATTCGCCCAACTCTCCCTCTGTATGTCATGCCATCACCCATCCCCCATATTCCACAATCAGCCAAAGCAATCAACTCAACCATAACTCATTCATTATTCTGCTGCTGGCTAATCTCGTTGCTGCGTACGGACCGTCGTGCCGTCCCAATTCTCCAGCTCTCGACCCTTTACAGCATTCGTTGTTGGCCTGCTGCAGCTTCCAAGATATTTCGCCGAGGCCGTGCCTATCGCGCAGTGCAGTGCCGTGCAGTGCCGTGCCGTACTGTGCAGTGCAGCGCAGCGTAGTGCAGCGCGACTGGTTGCGACAGTACTTCGTGGCCAAAGCTCATCCTAACAACGAGGGCTCGCTATTGCCTCTCAGATCTCGTCGGCTGCCAGTACCACCCTGCGCCTCATACTTGAAAAGTAAGAGGCTGCAGAACAATATGGTGGACAACTCCTGCCCCAGTCCAGAGGACATCACCCTGCAGGAATTCCACGATGCCCTCGCAAGATATGACCAGTTCATCGCGGCCCTATCTGTCTCCAAAGGTGGGTGAGAAGGGTCTCGGCCTCTCCATCTCCATTTGATATGCTCCTGGAGGCTGATCAGGATTCATAGCCAAACCTGGCCAGAAGACTCTTGCAGAGCTAGATCGATATCGTTACGTGGAGGCCCCTGCCATGTTCGCCCCCACGAAATCCAGCTGTACTATGCAGCTAGGGAATGTCAAAACTTTAGTCGAATGGAAGCTGTGCGTCTTTGCCCGCCTAATCCTCGGGTCCCCCTTTGACCCAATCCTCTTTCCGCTGAGCAGCTGTCCAACGTGCCCTCCGCTCCTGACCAGTAGTGGGGAGCGCGACTGACCTGGACAACGTTGGACCCGCCATCTGACCTGTCAGCAGCAAGCATGGAAAGTTCCGGCCAACTCTCATGAAACTCGTGTCCTCAAACGAGGAGTCGTTCGTCAAGGATACCGCAACGAGTGCCCTGGACCTATACAGCAAGGAAGCCGACGCATCCGCAGCTATTGATGTGCTCACAAGACTGAAAGGCATTGGTCCAGCCACCGCGTCTCTGCTGTTGGCTGTCCACGACCCCCAGAACGTCATCTTCTTCGCGGACGAGGCCTTCTACTGGCTGTGCAACAATGGGAAGAGAGGGCCCATCAAGTACAATGCCAAGGAGTATAAAGAGCTTAACGAAAATTCACAGAAGCTTGCCAAACGGCTCAGCGTCAAAGCAGTAGACGTGGAGCGAGTTGCTTACGTTCTCATCAATGATGCCCCATCAAGAACGCCACCCAAGCAACCGGCAGATACCCCGAAGGACACAGCGGCGGCCGCCAAAACGACCTCGTCTGTGGCCACCAAGAGGAAGCAGGAGGGTGTCATTGAAGCATCTTCTGCATCTCGTCGATCAAAGCGGAGCAAGCGGACCTGATGGTATGCGAGTAGACCACGTCCGGCGGAGCTCAGCAGCTGCTCCATTTATCTCGGCCTGAACCCCGTGCCGCGGCGTCGGATGTCCTGGAATGGACCATCTTGTGACGCCGCATACCCCGTTTTGGGAGCTGTTGGCCACTGCTGGATCGTTGGTGAACTGGCCAACATCTAGGGTGTTATCTGGGGCACTCCCGATTCGACTCAACTCCCGGCTAGGCTACACGCTTCTCGTACTCGGTCGATACTCCCGACTGGGACATCGACCGCTGTCTCAAACGCAAGAACACTCACTGGCCTGCGCCTTGGGTCAAACAGATAGTATCAACGATGGCCGAACATGACTTTTCAGAAAGGACTCTTTTTGAGGTCTTATCTTATCTGGCTTTTCCGCCTGTCACCCATGTGCTGCACTCGCTGGTTTTGGACTGCTCTAGATGGTCCGAGCCCACACCGAGTCTCCAAATCCCGATCGCCAAGAGACTTGTTCGCCGGCTTCACTCAAGGACCTCGGGACTGCACTGGATCTTTGGTCCTCGTATCTTGGTAAGTCGTGCAGTAACCAGCAACACCAGGGCGAGATTTCATAATTACTTAACGGAATTAGCCAACAACGACAGCTTTCACCCGTCGGGGAAAAGACTACTGTATCACAGATTTAGCTTGGCTACACTGAATTGGGTCGAACTTGCATGAGACAAGCATTACAGCCCGAATGTTGGCCTCCCTCCAGGGACGGATCTTCGCAATTGTTTCCGAACTCACGAATACTCTGTACACCGGTGGGAACCAGGATGTCCTGGGACTTTCTCATCGTCCTGCCTGTCTGCCCGTCTGTAGACAGCTGGACAGCTGGACAGCTGGACGGCAAGGTTATGTCGCCGGAGAAACCAATATCCAGCGAGACCCTGCGCCAGGATCATCCACCTTGTTCTCTTTAGGATTGGAGCGCTACAATTCGGACCCGACGCAATTTGACCCGAAACATGTGTTGTTGATCGACTAGAGACCCACTTCAGCGCTTTTCTCACCGGCAATAACATTCAATAGAGCTCTGCTTTGAGAATAGTTATCAGAAGTGAGTTCGCCGGTGGAGTGCCTGACAAGGCTTTCCGCCCTTCCCGGGCTACCTCCGCGGCAGGTTGCAACGCTACTACAGAACCGGCCTTCTGGAGCTAGTGATTGGCTGCTCACCTGCCTTTTTCGCTCGTTCGCGGCTCAATGTATTAGTTTATTTCAACCTTCGAGGCCAGCGAGTTCACTTGTCTTGGCAATGTCGACGCCACAAGACAACCATGTATCTGCGACATGGAACGGCAAGCCCGAAACACCACACAGCTACATACGCAACTAGACATTGGCAGCGGGGTACGCATTCCTGATCATCCTCTCATGTGAGTTGTCTCTTAAGCCCGCGGGCGGAAGAAATCCTGCAGCTTGGGAGGTGTCGATCCACCTGAGCCACGCTCCTGTATTTTTCCGACAGCGGCAGGAGAGGAATGCCGGGCTGATCTGCTTACTGCTTTCCATCACTGCGCCATGCTCCCCTACTTGATTGACTTTTAATGCCAGCCTTGCAACGGTGGCCTCTTCGAATGAACGTTGGCCCGGATGCTAGAGGGTGGTAGCACAATCTGCCACTCAAAGTGATCGATCCGTTGGCTTCACGAAGCTAAGGTGACTTGGTTACAATGAGCATGGGCCCAAAGAGTTTAAGCATGTTCTGGCTAAAATCACTCGTACATATGTGCAACATAAATCTCCAGCGGCTCAGGGACCGATGGGACGTCAATAAAGCACCAACGCAGCACGTTTATTGTGTTGAGGTCCGGTCTGGTCGACCCATATGAGGGACCCAGCCCTACGCGATGGAGGTATCCGAATTCTCCCATTGGTTGCTGCGAATACTACATAGAGAGAGTTCGCGTTCGGCGTTGCGGGCCGCGTCGCGGCTATCAGGCCTGCCTACAGAAGCTGTGCAACTCCCTTTTCCTTCCAAGATCTGCCTCTTTCTCAGAACTGAAGCTCCAGTTTTATGCCGACCGGTGTAGAGTTTCAGGCCAAAGTTCACATGCCTGGAGAACACAGCTTCACAAGAAGGCATGCAAGCAGCTAGTGTCCCCCCAAGTGCACGTCGGATCCTGTGCTCCTTGCATACATGGCCCGTCCCGAGTGCACAATGCCAGGGGCTTACCAGTGTATAAAAGATGCCGGTCTTCTTCGACCAAGAGGACCGTATCAGGTCTTCTCTACCGGTCTATGGAGAAAATTGTTGCCAAGAGCTCGCCCATGTCGGAAAGTATGGCAGTAAAGTCATCTACACCTACACACATGCTCACGAACCTCAGAGAGGCTTCTTACAAAAGGATCAGGGTTTTCCCGATGTCTCCCCAGGATGGCATCCCGTCTCTTCCCAAAAGATTCGCGCAGGTCAAATCTGATCTAATATCAAGCAATGAGACCGCCATTGCGGCGTCTTGGGGTCGTCTCCTCAAGCAACTTCGACAAGAGGTTGCAATGATCGCCGAAGCGAATAGGACCGTCATACCCACCATCGACTTCCAGGATCTTGAGGCTCCTTCCAAAAGAGATACCTTCTTGGAAGACTTGAAAATCCGAGGCGCAGCAGTGATCCGAAATGTCGTTCCAGAAGACGAGGCTCTGGTTATGAAGAGCGATCTTGATGCATACATAGCCGACAACCCCCACACCAGAGCTTCGTCGCCGAAGGACTCTCAACTTTACGAGCTGTATTGGAGTCTTGCGCAGCTGAAGGCTCGAGCACATCCAAACATGCTCAAGGCACAGAAGTTTGTCATGAACGGCTGTTGGCATCACTGTATCGCACCAGGGACGTCATCGGGAGGCGACGGCGTTGACAGTCAGGTGGACTCACGGACACGCATCACGACAAACTTCCCGGTGGCCTATGCAGACCGTGTGCATATTTCACATCGAAGCCCTCAAGAAGCTCAGAGGTTTCAGCCCTCACTACCTCTAAAGGCTCAAGTTGACGGCGGCAGTGTCGAAAGATGGGAAGCAGACGGTTACGGCGGGCGCTCGCAGAGGGGAACATACCGGGACATCTTCACAGGCCGCTGGGAGGATTGGGACCCTTGGGACATCAGTACCAGGCTAAACACCACCAGCGATCTGTATAATGGTGCTAACACCTGCAGTGTCTTTCGCATGTTCCAAGGCATCTTCTCCTTGGGCACGGCGGACCGTCAGCAAAGCTCACCATCATCACTGCCAGCAACAGCACCAATGGCCATTTGTGCGCTGCCGGTGAGGCTGGTGACGGCCTATTGGCTGCTGAGGCCCTTCTTCTCGCCCCGGAAACCATGGGTCGGCAAGGGCCAGCGCGCAGCGGACTTCCTCGACCCGTCAAATTGGGACCTGACGCCGTCGCAGAGCCCCATCCTCCACGGCGCGCAGCCGTGCCACTCACAGGAAATCAACGCGCTGCTTCATCCTCACCTTCTCCTTGACAGGACGCTCGTGCCAGTCCCACCTCTACGACCAGGCGACTACGTCCTGTTCCACCCGGACGTGGCGTACGCCATGACCCCGACACTGCCCATGCCGCCATCCGCCACGGGGCAGACACCCCCGCCCACCCCACAGCGCTCGAGAAGACCGTCATCATCCTGCTCGTCATCCTCCTCCTCGGCACCGCCCTCTTCTACTACATCCTCATCAGCAACCTCAACGACACTCCTCTACATCCCCGCCTGCCCCCTGACACAGACCAATGCGCTCTTCCTGGCCCGGCAGCGAAAGGCCTTCCTGCTGGGCTTCCCGGGCCCGGACTTCGCGGGCGGCGGCGGCGAGAGCTTCCACATGGGCCGGCCCGGCGTGCAGGAGGTCAACGAAGCGGGCGGCGAGGCCGCGCTGCGGGCGACGGGCCTGCTGGCGTGGGACGAGGATGATGCCACCGAGGGCGATGCGGAGCGGATGGTTCTGGCTGCTGCGAATGGGATACTGTTCCCGGACAGCTTTGCTGTGAGATAGGAAGGGCAAGGGTGTGTGGGGTGGAAGTGGAGGTGGACAAGCTTGTGAGGCCTGTCGATAATGACTGTATGCATGTTTGTGTTGGAGGTTAGGGGGGGGGATATCATGTTCTATGGTGCTTTGGGGTCAAAGAAGCGTAGCTCCCCATAGGTGTGTTTACATCCGCCTCCATCAGACTGATGAGGCTGCAATGAAACTTGTTGTAACCCGCAAAACTAGGATCTCTCATCTGACGGATTGTGAGTGGGTAGCAGAAGCACGAGACAGCATTCACGCGAACTACTGGATGACTTGACACGGCTGAATTTCATTCTTATTTTTCATTTGACCGTCAGACCTGACGGCTGATGGACTGGACGTCCTTAGGGTATCGACGCTGTTGGCCCCCCTCTGCCCAACGGTGTTGATCCATGTATCTAACCATGTAGGAAGGGCCCAGCTGCCTAGCCAGCTCCCTGAAAGATAATTTCTATAGCTTTCCCCGACCGATGGGCCCTCTCACTCTGCTTGGCTTCATCCGCTCGTTCAACCATCCCCACAATCCCTTTGATTGCATCGATTTGCGGCGACGCGGCCTTTTAACCGGGCCACATGAGACGGCTCGTCTTCTGCCCGGGGCGAGACGCGGATGTCCTCATAGGCGCGCGGCCTGTTATTGTAATGGGTGAGCGGCTCCCTTCACCCGGCGGCCTCTACTCTCCCATGGCCCATTTACCCAAGGGCCAATCAATTATTCAAGACGCACAGTCCCTCCGATTCATTTGCATTGATCTACCCCCTCATGGCGCAGTAGGCTTCTGCGCGAACAGCCTAACCACCTGGTAGAAGGTGTCCTCGATGGGTGGCATCGCGAACGCAGGGGCCGCGTCGAAGATCTCAGCCAGCCGCTGCGGCGCGACGACAGCGGCGTGCGCGTCGTCATCGTCATCGTCTACGTCCATTGCCTCCTCTTGCTCGCCATCGCTGGCCTCCTCCTCGTCATCGCCGTTGCCGTTTAGGAGGACAACGGTGCTCTCGGCGGCAGGCTCCTGGTCGGCCGGCAAGTCGTCGAGCTTAAGCTCAGAGAGCGGGCGGGCGATATTGCTCGAGTCGGCGCCCTCGGTGATGGGCCAGATCTGGGCGGCCGAGTCGACGGCGATGAAGCCCGGGGACCCTGCGGCCGGCAGGACGGATGTGAGCAGGTGGGGCAGCTTCTGCATGAGCAGCGGCTCGTTGTCGTCCAGTCCGAAGATGGCCACCTCCGAGACGGCGCCGCGGGACAGCCGGCCGTTGGCCCCCCTGAGGAAGGGCACGGAGATGGCGAAGGTTTTTGAGGTCTGGTCGACCGCGAGGTGCGTCAGTCGCGCAGCGGGCTCGGACCGCTGTCCCAGCTTGACGCCGTACCGGAGCTCGTCTGCCACGAGGTCGTAGACTGCGAGGTCTTCTGAGAGGATGACAAGGCACGAGGTCAAGAGCTGCAGCGATCGGATCGCGCCCTTGCACATATCGTGGAGGGTGTTGCGGATCTCACCCGACTCCATGTCGATGATGTAAATCACGATTTCGTTGTAGTGACCGTAAGCAACGAAAAGAATCGACCCATCCTCGGAGTATGTCAGGGCCCCGCTCTTCTTGTACGTTGCCCGACCACCCAAGGGCAACAGCTCGTCTTGCGACTTTGTGCTTTCACCAAGGGCAATCGTCCGAACGCATGACCAGCTAACCAGCGCCTGGCCGTTTGGGGCAGTGGTCGTCAGGCCGTCACGCTCACGGAGTTGGGGCGACCATATCCGCACGACGCCGTCCTCGCCGACCGTGGCGAACTTGTTGGAAACCTTATCTGCAGCGATGTCGAAGACCTCATCTGACTGCCGAGTTGAGTGAGGACCATTGATCCTGCTCGATAGCTCCATGGTCGTCCCATCCTCCTTCGTCTCCCAGAACTTCAGGTAGATTTCCCGACGCTCACGCGAATACTCTATTGCTGCAGCGTTTGAGCCCTCGGTGAGTGCGTTTGTGTCTCGCTCTGGTGGCTCCCATTCGTCGATTGTGGCAAGCCATCTTCCGTCAAAGGAGAACGCAAGCTGGCACGCCCGCGGCTCGACTATAGGGTAGCCATTTGGTGCAGTGTACAGCTCCGTGGTATTCGTCCTCGTCAGGGGCTGTTTAGATATGCTTTGGAACGAGCCCAGATCAAACCGTTGAAGGAACGGCGTAACGGGTAGAGGTCCAGTCCGACTGGCCTGCTGGCTGGTTCCAACGCAGATGAGCAGTTGCGACGGATCTTTTGGATCAATGGCTGCTGCTAGTGGTGCATTAATCTCTCTAAGACCCTCAAAAATTCGACCCACAAGTGCGTCCTTTGGTTTTTGAGCGTCAAAGACCAATGATTGAAGCCCAGATACGTAGGTCGTCGGCTTCATCTCGGCGGTAGAAAGTATCATTGTCGAATTGTCATCCATATGGACAGCGTAAGAGGCGCCGCTGGGAGACACTACGACGTTTTCGATGCTGGCTGCGAGGTGAGGCAGGAAATCAAGCTTGCCAGTATCTAGTTGCCAAAGCACAAGCACAGACTCTGAGCCTCCAGATATCAAATAGTTACCTGCGTAGCGTTAGTAGAGGGAATTCCAACTTAGGGACTCTTCTAAACATACCGTCAGGTGACCAATAAATGCTATGGACGGCCCTTTGGTGCCAATGTTGCTTCTTTGGTACCTCAAGGCCCTTCCGCGATTTGGCTCGCAATTGCGAGAGCAGATCCGAGTATATGTAGATGGCTCCTCGCACACCTCCGACAGCAACATCCAGTACAGGTTCGCTGGACTCATGTGCGGCCTTCTTCTTCGAGCCTGATTTTTTTGGTGCGAGCCTCACGCTCAGACAGCAGACGTCGTCGCTAGTGTTAATGGAATAAAAGTCGTAGGCCAGATCCACAATACTTCCAACGCTCTTCTGCCGTGCAGCACCCACCATCAGCGTGTTCCCCGTGGCGGCGGTAAGGATGCTGCCCCCATTTGTGGTTCGCAGAATGGTCGCTTTTCCTAACTGCTTTTTCAACACCTGGCTCGTTGGCTGGGCGAGATCAGATGGGTCGTATGCCACAATTCTGTGACCATTCTTGAGACTCTCTGAAACATACAGGATGTCGGTTGGTCTCTTGTTGACGGTGACGGCACCAAGAGTCATGTCATGTATGACACCTGCATCCGTTTGGAGGCAATTCTCTGTGCCAGCTCCTGTCCTCCAGTTTATCCGCCATATCCTGCCGTCGGAAGACGCAAGCCAAACTAGATCTGTTGTCACTTGGGAGAGAGCAGCAGCCACAAGGTAGGGTGCGCCATTGTTTGCGCCGATCAGGGGTAGGGCGATCCTGCGGACGAGAAGAGAGTCGGCAACGGAGTATACTTGGAGGGAGGTATCGTAGGCGACGAGGAGAGACCTATAAGTGTCAACACAATTGAACTTAAAGCTTTGCGAAGGACTGGGCTTACTTTTCATCGGCACTGAAAATGGGATCTATATCAGACATTCTTCCACCCATTGGCTCCGAGATCCTCCATTTCTGTAGGGTCTTGGCCTTTGTGCTTTCGCCGTTCGATTGAGTCCGTGGCTTGTTGTGCTTGGATAATAAGTCATTGAAAGTCGAATCGTCTTCTGAACCGTGCTGGTCCTCAGCAGCAGGCGCTGCTGCTTTCTTCCTGGGCGATGCGCTTGGGGTTTCGTCGTGCTTGTCCTGGTGCTTTTGTCTCCTTTTCTTCTTGTGTGAGGAGTCCTCCTGGTCTAGCTTTTCTCTCTTCCGCTTGTCTACACCTTTGCTGGCCTGGGACTTTGAGGACGCCATGGTGAATGAACTCGAGGAATTGTGCTGGGCTGGATCAGCAGGAGAACCTGGGCGAGCATAGCCGTCTGCAAAAACTCAGGTACAAGGGGTCTGCCGCTGAAAAATATCACGATAAGGGAGCGATAAGAATTTAAAAGTGGGTCTAGCCTCTCGCGGCCTGTTCAAAGAAATCCAGGCGCGGGACCATTTACGCTCCTCGACATCAATCCAAACCGCATCGCAGCACCTGCACCTCGCATCGAGCCACCAAGTCTGCGTATTTGTCGTCGGAGATAGTCATCAAGATGATTATTCCCATCCGCTGCTTCTCCTGCGGCAAGGTTGGCTAGCCCTCCCAGCGCGACAGGCCCTACGAGGAAGGCAGAATGGCTGACTACAGCACAGGTGACTGGCGATCTCTGGGAGCGCTACCTGGCACTGATTGACCAGAACGTCCCTGATGGGTAAGAGGAATCCCGAATACGTTGGAGCTACTCTCTCTGGCCACACTATACTGACGCGACATGATGCAACGCAATAGAGACGCCATGGACCAGCTCGGCTGCAAGCGGTACTGCTGCCGTCGCATGATCATGACACACGTCGACCTGATCGAGAAGCTGCTCAAGTAGGCCGCGGTCCTTTTTACGATCCTCCATCGAAACTAGCGCCCAGATGACTTGTGACTGACTGCTCGCAGGTACACTCCCGACGGCCGCGAGGTCAAGAAGAGCAGCCTGGCTCATGACCACCCCCAATAAAGTTGAGGCTTGAGGTGTACAGCAAAAGGTTTAACTGCGTGGCGTTCAGGTGTGCCGCGGATTCGAGAGGAATACAATGGCTTTAGGCATACTCTATTCGACAGCGACGACAAGGGACATGGCGAGATCAGCCTGCGTGGCGGCAAACCGACAGATCGTATCGAGCCAGCCTGGCCATGGCCGCGACAATGGCGGCTCATGATCTGGGGCAACCGACTACGCCCACGTCTCGGGAGGAGATGCAGCAGATCCAAGGCCGGACTGGACCGGAATGACTACAAGAGAACAGGCTCGCATCCTGGAGGGACTCTGCAGAAGTCACTTTATGACGAGGATAGGTCCTGTAGAGGAGGCGCCCCACGGTTCGGCGTTTAATAGACACTGGTAACACAAAAGAACTGCCTACTGGGCCGCTTCCGCGGTCTCTCTATGTTGCCCCTGCATGTGGCCAGCTTCGTGGCCGTCTTCTTGACCACACGATTGGAACAACAGACGCGGCTTTGCAAAGTGGCCAGCTGCATTTCGCTGAGCTCCGACGATCTTGCTGAATGATCGCTGGTCGCAGGACGTGTTTGTTACTTCAATTCCAATTCGTATCAAATCTCTTACCTACCGCGACGCAGGATCAATTTCGACGCGTCACTGTCAAATCAAAAAAGCATGCAGCCCTTCCCAGCGGCTAAGGTGCAACCAGATTGGGACCACGTCCGCCACCACTGCGGACATCCGACCTGTCGAGGTTCGACAGAGCAGATGGGCCTCGGCGGAGGAGTCGTCAAGGAGATATTGGCCGCATCAGGAAGCACTATGCAATGCGCCGGCCCAACATGCAGGACAGCTGTTTCACGCGCTCGACTTGACATGCTCCCGTGCGGCGCAGGCGCAAACTGCAGTCCGAAGCTACTGCGCAATCGCATTATGCAGTTTTGAATTTCGACGGTGTGCTCTTCGTCACTCCCCACGCTAATTGCCACATACGACGCACACAAAGGCGGCCGTCTGGATGCCTCAAGCAAGAAACTTTCCGTAGGGCGACCAAGCAGATGGCCGAATGGCAAGGTGATGAGAGACACAGCTGTCAGACGGCAATGCCAGATGTACCGGTGTGCCTGGGGAATGAGCATCTCTGAAAGCTCACTCGTCCCAGCCAAACTCACTGGTCTCAATGGCAGGGGTCAAGCTCTTGCGCTAGAAGGATGACCCACAGGCACTGTCAACCAGGAGTTGGCGGGGATCACTTCTTGGCTCCGTCCTGAGCAATGATGAGAGCAGTGGCCGTCGAGCAAGTCGGAGACATCCCTCCTTGCTGAGCACAGCCGAGCCGAGCTCAGCCCTGCTCAGCCTAGCAGTAGCAAACGATTTATTATGTATTGCTCCGCTATTCCGAAAATTTGCCTTTCCTGTTATCCACACTCCGAGCCTGTCGCCAATTCATTGTGGACGAGCTCAGGGCGTCTCGCCATTGCTCAAGCGCAATCTTTGCTTCTTCCCAGACAGACTGGCACGCAGGCAGTGGGGTGATCTGCCCTGATGACCCCAGGATGGGCAGGAAAAGGCCCAAATATAGGTGTGCGCTAAACTCAGAATGATGCGGTTCCCAGGCCATCGGGTGCATAGAACGCCTCTTTACGGGCTTGTTGCACCAGGCAAGCCAGCACCAAGATCCACCGAGGGAGGGGTCTTCAGATCGTCGTCAGAAATTGTGATGCGCAGCAGATAGAGACGGTGCCGAGGCCTCTCTCTGGCTTCTGAGAGCGGCGAAAAAGAAGCAACGAAGGAGGCTCAAATATTCCGGTCATTACGTATCACGATTTGGCCATGGCCAAGGCAGCAGTTACCTCTCTCGGGAACTTTTGCGTTAACCAACATCAATCCATCTTGTGGCACAAGAAGTTGTACCGCACAGTAGCGCCCAACATGATCGGGAGCACAGCATTTGGTCGCCCGTGGCTTAACGGCTGGCTCCCCGAATTGGACCAAGGTTGTGCCGGAGACCACAGTCTTGGTGTTGTGGCACACCCTAATTCTGCTCTATTCTGTTCGTGCCATGTGTCATTCAAAACAGGGCAGTCAAGGTCTTGGGAAGAAGGACCAGACAGACTGACTACCCAGTCAACCAGCAAGCCAACCGGTTGGGTCTCGCCGGCGTCCGTAGCCCCAACATCCCAAATGCCATTGGCTCACAGGCAAAGATATCGCCGTGTCTTGGTCGGCCGTGCTCCATCTCCCTGCTTGCTACCCGACCGACTGGGACGTTCGCACCGAGGCAGAGACAGTCATGGTTCGGCCTGGATGGCTTTTAGGTTGCCCAGGAAGTCTTCCGGGTGCCCCATCCTAACCACGAGTGCAGCATGCTATCGACAGGGGTGGCCCAGGCACCGCAGATGTGACTTGCTGGATGAAGCGATGCCACCAAGCTAAACCACCACCTCTAAGCGCCGACGCCTGTCGTCTCATGCAGCTCATCAGTGGTAGACAACCTTGGGCATCCACCACATCGGCACATTGCCGGCCTCCTACTGGCTGCGCCGCCGTCGAGAGGAGCTCGGGGCCAAAGGGAGAGGTAGAGAAACGACGCGCACCTGCAGGCTGAAGTGGTCAATTCCCACATTAAACCCATCGTTAGTCTAGTCTACCACAGCACAGCACCGCATGGCACCGCACCGCACCGCACCGCACCGCGACAGAAACATCCACGTCGCAACGACTAGCATTGAGGCATTGGGAACCCGTAGACAACTGACCCCTTCACCCACTTCCATTTCTTCTGCGACACTCCGGCCAGGGTCTGCTCTTGATTGCGCCGAAACATCTTTTGTGATCCGGTCGCGTTGGGAAACAACACGTCCCGGTCCAGCCTCTCTGAAAGTTGCTGTCACGCCTGTGGTCCCATTCTCCCCATCATCCGTCATCGAGCCCCTCATAACCTCCAAAGAGCTGAGCTCCGGATAGCTCTTGTGTCTCGTGTGCCTTAAGCTAGCTTGCACGAATCACATTGGCAGCACGTCGACGAGGCTCTGAGCACCTCCCACTGGTCGAGACTCGATCAAGGAATCCTCTGGCAGGATACCCACGCATACTGACTGCAGATACTCGCGCAACCTAATCCCGGAAGGCTCAGGCGCATCCCACCGAGATAGTCCATCTTTCTTGCTGCAGCAGCGACGCCAACTTCTTACACTATCGCGACGTGAGCGTCCCTCCGGTTTGCCTTCTGTCCTTTTGCTCAGCCAGCCTCTACTGCTTCGTGCGAGATTTCGTCTGGGCCAGTCATATTGAAGCGAGACCCGACGAGACGGAGCCAGGCCCCGGTTAAGATACGCCCCTTCCGCCTGGTGCAGATCTCTGCGAGCCCGGCTTTTCCATCTATTGCTTCTCTCGAAATCTTCTGGAAGGCCTGTCACCAAATACTTTTCGGCACCTCAGTCCCCCCTCAAGCCGCCTCTTGATTTGTCTGCTCCATCGGCTGGCGATCTTGGAGCCTTGTCCCTGTCTAGCTGCATCTCCCCCTTAGTGCGAGCAACCCTACCTTGACATCGAGGGCTTGCAGCTCATAACAGCCACCTGCCCCTCCTCCCGGTCTCGTCCTTCCTCAAGGAGCTTCCACAGCAGGTGCGCTGTTACAAACTGGGCAAATTTTGGTGGTCCAGCACCCGGCGACCGTCATCAACACCATCCAGTCTGCCTCGCTTCGCCTGACGGCCGGTTCGCGGGCCCTCGTCACCGCCGCCTTCAAGCGTGGTCGCACGGTGACCGGTCAACCCTGAATGTTATTCTGAGTCCGTCGTCTGTCTGTCCCGCGCCTTGACGACGACAATAGCATATCAGCCTCGCCTGGCTCCGATTACTTACGGCTCTGTGGTTCCCCAGTCATGGCTCTCGAGGCACCACTGAGGTCATCTACGGGAAATTTAATCTCTGCCTTCTCTCCGTTCAAAGATATGTCAGTGATGCCTTCTGAATACGTGCCGGGCTATATCCAATTGTCATCATGTGCTTCCTGCTTGCTTGTGCCTCCCGTCGCTCCTCAATGCTGACCACGAACTACCCCTTCAGGTCGACTCCGACTCCAATGGATTCCCAAAGCCTTCGGCCCACCTCGTATGTGAGGCCACACTCCGCACATCTTTTGAGCCCTTCCAGTGATATCGTCGGCCCCTCGCCCGTCACTTCGAACGGCACAGAGACTACGGAGATCGACGATGAAGCGCTGTCGGAGACTAGCGACCAGCCCTCGGCGCCGGAGCCTGAAAGCCCTCCACAGGTATGGGATCCTGCGCGCAGGCGCTGCAGCTCTTTGCTAATGCCCTCGCAGCTCAAGATGCTGAGAACGAACCTCCCCGATGCCATGCGGACGACTTCGAGCGAAGAGGCAATTTCGGTTATACATGCCCCTGAAAGTTTTCATCAATGGGTGCGTTGGGCAGAAGTCTAGATAGAGTTTGTCCAAGAAGCTAAACGAGGAAATAGGCATCGTCAGATCCGAACAAGTCCGCTGAGAAACCGGTCGATATCATCAGCCCTCCCGAGAGCGAACCTTCTACCAAGGTAATATGACTTGTGATCTTGGCACAATTTCTGTGGCTGAATAGAATCTCAGGACAACGCTCTGAACCACCCGACGCCTCCACCAATATCGACAAACGTGAAACCGTCAAGATACTCTCTGGACAACGCCACACCCCAGGCACAAAAGCTACACGATGTCTTTGGAGATGCCTCCCGTTTACGGTCAAGCAGTACGAGCAGTCTCGAATGTAGGTATTGCGATTGAAGTTTCGGCTGGCGTAGACTAACTCTATGTGATAGTGATTCCAGAAATTCACGAGGGAGAGACCGACGCTGGACCAGATTCTGCCACTAGCGAACATTTCGTTACGCCAGCGGTGATAGAAGAGGAGCCCGAGATTAGAGCCTTGAGAGACGCTCTGGAGGAATGCTGGACCTTGTGTAACACATTAGCCAACCTTAGCTCCATCCACCGAGAACGTGTGTTCAACAGTTCCGGGACGCCAGACGCCCACGAGAAAGCCTGGAAGAGTTGTTGGAAGCTCTGTCAGAAGCTTTACAACAGCCGGGATGAACCCGTCGAGATGCTCAACGGACGGGCGAATTTGGACCTGTGTCGAGACTTTTGTCAGTCGCTGTTTGATGTGCGACAACGCAAGGACGAGATCGGCGATTCTGTGCTCAGAGTCAGCTTCGAGCTCAATAACCAGTAAGACTCTCCCCATCAGTATCTGTTGCAAGCACAGCATCTGACCACTACCCAAAAGTCTCTACAGTGCTCAGGACAGCCGGAACTTGCCAGAAGCATTCCGCGAAAGGACACTAGACTTCTACATTACGCTTTGCCACCGCCTTATGAAGCAACGAAGCGAGCTGGCGGAAGAGACAGATTCGCTCCTCAGGGCATGCTGGTCATTGGCCGAGATGCTGTTCAGCCTACGGCAGAATTCTCGTGACGGAAAGGCTCCCGATGAGGAGCTCCTAGGATCAGCAGTGCAAGCCTGCTGGGAACTGTGCGATATCTTCAGGGAAGGCTGGACACAGGTCAGGCCGGACCGAGGCACCCCACGACCAAGCCAAATCAATTTCTTCCAGCAGGGCCTGGCGTCAGACGTACGGTCGACTACGAGCCGCTCCTCCATCCACTCGAAACGCGAGAGCCTAAAGAGCATGGCGGATGACCAGCCATCACGCCGCAGCAAGCAGCCACCACCCGTGCCCGAGACGCCCGTGACCGAGTTCGAGGATACGGGCGACACACCCATCTCCCCCGGCAGCGAGAGTCCACAGATGCCCAACATCCTCGTCTTGGGCACAAACCAGGACAGCGGGAGCCAGGGCGGGTCGCGCGGCGGCAGGTGGTCGAGCAGCGCGAGCAACCTGTCGAGCTACTCACAATCCAGCGCCAAGACGAGCAGCACAGCGACGACAGCGACAGCGGCCGAGGACATCAACGTGACGCGGATCAAGATGCTGATCCTCAAGGCGGCCATGAACATCGGCTTCAGCCGGGACAGCAGCGGCAACGCGGCAGGCGACGGTGGCAAGGGTGGCGGCGGCGCGGGCGCAGCGGGCGCGTCGCTGCAGGCGTTCGTGCAGAAGCTGCCGACGGGGTCGTTCGGGTCGCTGCCGGCGCACGCGACGCTGCTGCAGAACTACAAGAACCTGGTGCTGGCCGACACGACGTTCCGCACCGCCGCGTCGCTGCCGGGCCGGGGCAAGCGCGTCAGCGCCGCCGACGTCGCCAAGAGCGTGGGCTGGATGACGCTGCGATCCGGCCAGTACGCGTTCCTGAGGGACCTGTTCCGGCTCGTCTACGGCTTCCCCATCGAGGAGGCTGAGAACCGCAAGAATGTCAGCATTGCTGTGTGAGAGGATGAGCGGGGCCGGGGGCCGTTACGCTCCCGGAGAGACACAGCTCTCAACTGCTTCCATGGCAACATGCGATTCTGTCGCAAGGTCATGAATCTTTTTTATTCCTCGGTCTTAGGTGTGGATGCTTTGGGCCAAACTACATGGCAACCGAAGTGACACCCCCACCCAATGACCGACAAATCCCTTATTCACAACCCCCGGCGGCGGATTTTTGAAATTTATTTTTGCCAAAAAGTTGCACATTTGGAGCGGCCATCTAACGATCAATGACTTCCTTCCACACACGCACGCACACATACATACATATACACGCACGACCCTTCTCCCTCCCATTTCTCTCTACAGTCAGCTCGTTTCTCGCTCCAAAGCACGATACCCCCTCTATTCGGATGGCTTTAGTTGTCGTTGGCGCTCTTTTTGCTCATAGGTGTGGAAGGCAAAATACTTTTCTGCTGCGTTTTTTTACGTCCACCATTTATATATATATCATATCTCTACCAGTTTTGTATGGAGCTTTCCGGGGGATTCAGGACATTGTGCACGTCAATTTATATATTTACGTCTCTCTTGGACTGGAATCGACTCTTGTCCTCGTAAGGTTGTAATGTGATGTGGTTTGCGAGACTGTTGCACTGGGAACACAAGTCTTGATCCAGCTTACAAGGCTGTCAGCGTCGCTCATTCATCCACGAGCCAACACCTCCTTGGCGTCCCTGTGTGGCGACGGGACTTTATGCGCCCACGCCTCTTCAACAACCAGAATCATTACAGGTTAAGCATGATGACGGAACTCAAGAAGCGCACAGTCTGGCGGACATCCTCGTCGATAGGGCATTTTTCGTTGTAGGGCTACGACGAATTCCTGTTCCCTTCCTCAAATAGCAACATTCCCCAATCCGTAGCCCGACTTCTCTGCCCATCCCCGTATGTATTGTCCAGCCCACTGAAACGAGTAGAGTCCTACATCCGCCAATGTTCTTGTCTCCATACTACGCTCCTAACTCATCGTGTCCCTCGGGGAAAGTGATTTGAATAACACATCGCAAGTGGACCTCCTGGCAAGACTGTATGGGTGGTGTCAGTGGGCGCTGATTGGTCAATGGCCGAGTGATTGTTGTAGTTTCATGCCTTTGCCTTTGATAATCATATATCGCCTTCTTCGGATGCCACTTGGGTGTCGAAGTGGGCCCTGAAGCTGTCAGGACTGAAAAGGAATCGCACATTGTTGTAACACGTTGCGCAGAGCCGTGGATCTTGGCGCATAAAGTCAATCTCGGTGGGAACCTGTGTAAAGATAGGGCAGGCGGCAAACGTCATGCTTCCAAGCACCCCCTTTTCCCGGGCTCTTTCGGATTACTTCTCGTCCCAACTCCAGGTCGCACTCCTCAGGCTGGAAGCCTCCCACCCGATTGTACCACAGAGCTGTCCAAGATGACAAAATTTCCAGCTCAGAGTCGTAGAGACCTAAACAGGCGGCCCTGAAGAATCGGTGCCCAGGCGACGCCTCTTGCTTCCATCAGCACGTCCCTGCGCACCATCCTGGGCTTCCGAGTCACGAGCCATGTCATACCGGACGACGCGGTTCTGGAACGGGTCGTGGAAGTGCCCCGGCGGCAGGCGGCGATTCAACTCGGACAGGCGGCGCACGACGTCAGGTTCAGGGACCGCGAGGCGCAAGCCGTCCCGCATGTCAGCGGGGATGTTGTTGTAGACGATCTGCGTGGCGCGGCGCATGAGGGCCTGGTGCTGGACGCCGCCGGTGCCGTTATTATCGTTGTTAGTCAGGAGGTGCTCGGCCGCCATTGCCACGCCCAGCATGAAGCCGGTAGCCTCCGTCTGGTGCATCGCCAGCATGCTCTGCACCACGCCGATGTCGTTGGTGAAGTACACGCCGCCGTCCATCTCGTGCCGGTGGCCCAGCCGGATCTGGCAGCTGTCGTGCGGGTCGAAGTACCACACGCCGAAGGGGTCCGCGCGCGCCACGGCGCCCCTGTGGGTGCACCCTGGCGGGAACTGGAGCTGGGGCCCTGGGAAGCCAGGCTGCTGCGTGGCTAGGTAGGCCGAGTTGGCGTTGTTGGTGCTGCCTGCTGTGGCGGACTGATGTCCCTCGATGGACTGGAGAGGGGTGTCTGGGAGTAGAGTACGCACGTCGGGGATGCTCGAGCCCTGGCCGGGGTTGGCGGGACCCATCAGGTTCGGGTTATCAGGATCGAGGCTGAAGTCTTCCGCGGCCGTGCCTGCCTCAAATACGTCCATGCCATAGTTGATCTCGGCGAAGGGATCGCCAGCGTCGACGTCGATGCCGAAAGGCTCCTTCAGGAACTCGTCACCAGGTGTGTCGTTCGTGCTGGCTGGGGGAGCGCTCGGCGAACCGGATGCCAGGGCCTGGCTCTGAACCCCATGGCCAGTAGGCGTGTCGTGTGGGGGCTGTACTTGCTGGCACTGATGTGACGATCCGGCGATGGGGCTGTTGGCCCCCTGGTGCACAGAGGCTCGGGCGCTCGAGCAACGAGGTTGAGCGGACTCTACTGCTCGCTTACGTTTGCGGTTGGTGCTTGAGACGGGCTCGGGGCTTTCCTCCGATGTTGGTGACCTGGGAAACTCGGGGATAGGCCCAGTATACGGCTGGATCAAACTATTATACTCTGATTAGCGAGCACCTGCGAAAGATAGCCTGGCATGCGGCGTATAATATACAAACCCTGGCGCTGTCTTATAGGTAGACCGAATGTAGGCCACCTGCTTCTTGGTGAACTCCCGATTAGCCCAGTATTCGCCATGGTCCTGCTTGAAGGCTTTGGCGATGGTTTCGGGGTTCCAGCCGGCATGTATTCGTGCATTGACGTAATTGATCTCCTCGTTATTGTATTTGCGGTTCTCCACCATCTTGAAGTCAGCCATGATGATGTGAATGTGTGTACCTTGACCACTGATGGTCAAGTGCAACTGATTCGTAGAGGTCTGCAAGGTCTGCCAAAGTCGTCAATGAACGTGCTCTAGCGTGGTAATGTTTACTTCGAAAAGAAGGTGAGAGGATACCTTGAATTTGTACTGCGCTTAAGAAATGGTCAGCGGATTGCCTGGCATTCACGTGTCCATAAAGATATTGTCGTATGAACAATATTCACTTCGTCGGAACTACCCAGCTTCTGAAGACGTAAATATTATGTTAGTGAATTGGGTAACATTGCCATTTCCAAGCAGTGAATGTCTTATCCAAATAACCCTCACTTTGTAAAAGGCAGGTACCTTCCAAAATACTTTAAAATTGGCCGTTACCAGTGAACAAGGTGAAAGGCAGCTGATTGATGACAGTAATGGTAAATTGTCAGTGCTGTCTTATCTGCAAGTCCTACAGTTGCAGGCTTATATGCTGTGACACTTGATGGATGAACTTATAAGCGACAAGTTCAAGGTCCTGGATGAGTTGAGAGACGAGTTACCCGTCCGATCGAGAAATAAGATGAGCGATATTGTGTACTTGGTGATCGACTGCTGCACCAAACGAGCCTTGGGTACCCTTCCTGGCTTCGTCGAAGTGGTGTTTGCTTCGGAGCAGATGTGAGGAGGAAGTTGCTTGGAGTTGGGGGACGAGTCTTTTAAGCAGACAGGCAAAGCCAGTCCAAACTATGAATGCAACCAAGGTGGTGAGTCGCTGACCACCGTCGGATCTCGGACAGGTGAAACTAAGCAGCACTGCCATGTAGTGAGTAACAAGTTCTGGCAAGTCACAACAGCCTATGGTTCAAGGACAAATCTCGCTGTCTTGACTTAATGTACGGGACTGAAGGAAAGGGACGGAGCCTGAAGAGTTCCTTCGGTTGGAGAAATGGGTTGGAGAACTTGAGCAAGGGCAATGGCAAAACTTAATGGAAAGTATAGAAGCCGATGAGGCGAGTAAACAGCAGGGTGGAAAGATGATAGCGTTCGGGCAAGAATCACGCAAATTCAGGCAAGCGCTGAATTAGATCAGAAGTCGAACTGAAAAAAATGGCAATGGTCACTTGAAGAAAGTGTATCACACAGAATGTGTGGAAGCAATAATAGCTATTAGAAAAATACTTGTAGTATCAAGTGGAGAAATGGGACTTTGAGTCAAATGGCAGTGCCAGATGAAATGTCGTTAGGCAGTAAGGAATGTGAAAAGTATCACATTTCTTGGCCCGATGAGCGACAGGAGAAAAGACGCAACTTTTGGCAAATTTGGTCGGGTGGCATGAAACCACGAAGACAGTAAAGATGGCTCAGGGGCCGTAGATAGTAGAGAGCTCCGTTTGCTATGGAGCTGCTCGGATGATACGAAAAACGCTGGATGCCAGTCAGACACAGCTGAAAGTCATGCAGGTGTCTGAATTTTGAACATCTACCACCTGGGTGGACAAGCGGCCGAGTCCAACCTGTAGCTCCGAACTTGTCCGGTGTTGTTCACAGAGGTCGACATCTAGGGGATCACGTAATTTCAAACGGGCGGACGCAAAGAAAGGTGACATAGACGGTGACAATAGCATCTAGCCCGACAGGAGGAACAACAATTCGGCTGAGAAAGTTGCAATCTCATATTTTATTGACAACATTCTGCCTTGCAAAGATACCCAGCCAACACTTGACATGGCCGGCTTCTTCGTCCTCACTTGCGCCCCAGTCATCTCGCCCCGGCACGATTGTCTCCTCGAGGCAAACAAAGGGAGTGGTTTTCGACGCCAACTCTTGTCGAAGCATTGAAAGAAGATTGACTGTAACGGCGTCTCGCTGCGGTACCATTATCACCACCCTGGCATTGGCATCTAAGCTGAGCTGGTCGTCAACCGCACCGGCGAGAAGTCCAGGATGGTGGTCATCATAGAGAGGGTCGGCGACAATGACAGCCTAGACACAAAAGTTAGCCATCAAAAATGTGTCTTGGAGACCAGTCCAACACCTGCATTGAAGCTATTCTTCTCAGTAAAGAGGATGGGGTCTATCTCGTCACCATCCCCGCCCCATGTCAAAGCGCCGGAAGCGAGACTACCACCTCGGCCCTGCACTGTCTGCAGGTTCTTCTCGACGTTGTGGGCGAGGTTTGGCACGATCTCAGGGAGGTCGCTGAGGATAACACGAGTCCGCCAAATAGCCGCAGCTGCCAGGCCAAGGAGACCAGTCCCTGATCCCATTTCGAGCACTGCTGGTCGCGGTTGGCTGACCCCCTTTCCGAAGAGGTGGGCCAACGAAGTCTCGCCAATGGTATACAGCATCTGAGCAAGGACGTAGGAGGAGCCCCAGGTCTTGAGGCCGAGGTTGTCACCCGTCAATGCCGGTTCACGCAGGATCAGGTCGAAGGAGTCATCCGCATCGCCTTCGAAGGGCCATCGGCGGGTGATCTCGCTCATAGCTAATCAACAGCGTAAGCCGAGTGGTTTTTACAGCAAGATGTGGGACCTACCGCTTCGTCCACACCGCTCTGAGAAGCGCTTGCTTGCCTCGTCCCAAATTGTCTCTCGATCATCATCATCTAGCCAGCCCAATGGGCTCTTGATGATTGTGGAGAGATAGGCAGCGATCTCCCGGGGGTCCTGTACAGGCGTTTCCTGGTGCTTGAGTATGTCATTACGGGAGGCCTTGAGATTCCATGCTGGCGGATCGACGCGAAGTCTTTGGAGCGTTGCCAGTAGAAGAGGAAAGGCAGGCTTCTGCCAGACTTGAGGAAAGTCTAGTGGAGATTCAAGCATACTGTCTCTGGAAACAGAGTACGAACGAGTCTTTGGGGCGAAGGGGACCAAGGAGAAGAATTGTTGGAGGGAGACACTGCAAGATGAAGCACACTACGACGAGACGCAGTGCTATGGTGCAAGAACAGACATCGTGATAGCGGCGTGATGTGAGAGTTTGCAGATTGAAGTTGACGAGGAGGTCCAGGATAGTGTGAGACAGGCTCAGCACAGTAGACTCAGGGGCCGCGAAGCCGGGGAAAGAGTCTCGTCAAGAGTCAGTGCAGCAATTTTTATCGACTTATCGGGTAGTCTAAGTCGATTTGGCTCGTCAGGGTCCTTGCAGGTACGTACCTCCTCAGGTAGGTGCCTAGGTAGCTACGTATCCCGCAGGGATGTGGTGCGACAACGCTTTGATTGGTTGCAGCTCGCCAACAGGGTCCAGGCAGCCCCACACGTTGAGCCGCACTTTGATATTTCAGAGCTCACCAAAATTTCCAAGAGCTTGACTCTTCTCTCTTTCTTCCCTCTTTCTCTCCAAGCCCACCGCCCTCAACGCTACCCTTCTATGCCACAAACGGAGAGATCTGCGCAAGCAGCTTCTCTCGAGCCTTTGCGTCTTCCTTCGGGGAGTCGCTGGCATCACGTCGCATGTGAGAAATTCGGAGAAACTCCCGACGGGGCCCAGGCTTGCCTGGCCCTACCAGCCCGACCGCCTGCGCTTCTTGCGCGGGCGTTGACGGCCTGCCGGTGACGGCACGAGGCGAATCTGCCTCCGCAGTTGGCATCAGAAAAGCAGGGCGTTGGCCGTCCCCCGTTGCTTTCCCGCAAGGGGAAGATGGGGGCTCCGGTCCAGCGTTCCTCTGGGAGAGTCACTGCCGGGATCGCTTGGACACAAGCTGAAGTGCGATGGGTGGCGTGTCGCCTGCTTTCTCACCTCGGTGGGGACCCAGGCCTCATCATTCAATTCCGATCACTCTTTGGGCGGTGGGCTTCACAATTTTTTCCTTTCAGGTCAGTTGTACAAACAGCTTGGAATTACTTTGCAAGAAAGGATACTACTAACAAACTCCTCGAGCCACATGAAACAAGAATCAGATGTCGTCCACAGCGCCAAACTGCGATGTCCGGTACCACAAAGTTGACGCATACTTCTGCCGCCCTACTGTTCGCCACGCTAGCCAGCCTGACCATACTCGCCCTATTCACTGCCGCTGCTGGGTGAGGGCGGTACATACTCGCCAGCTTCCGCCATTCCCCTAGCTGCTTGTAGCATGATTTCCTCAATCTCCGGTCTCTGCGATGGATCTTCACTACGGCAACGGGTCATAAGATTTACGAATCGCTGTTCGGACACTCTCAAGTTCTGAACAACTTGCTGTTTCAGCAGCGACTCGGCCAAATCGACATACCCACGCAGTCGCTGTGCGCGATCGCTAGCATCGTCCTCGTCCTCGTCCTCGTCTCCGTCCTCGTCTCCGTCCTCGTTCCTGTTGAGGGGCTTCCCGAGCTGTTCATCTTCTGGGACCTGTGCCTCAAGATCCAACCCCAGGTGAAACGCAAGTCGGGTCTGCTCGGCTACCGTGAGACCGTCCTGCATGTATCGCATAAAGCCAATCCTCCCGATTTGATTACCGCCAAGGTTGTCCTTCCACACGCCGGCCATGAGGAAGACGTTTGTTTTGTGCGAAAAGTGACCTATAATGGGCGCGTATTCCCGGAACTTAAATGGTTGTTCAATGTCTATGTTTGCCTCCTGTTCACGCCTACGATCAGACAAACGCCATGAACATCATTACAAATGGGGAGAGCGACTCACCGGCAGCTCAGGGTTGAGGTTCTTGTGCCATCCTAATTTCAGATGCTCGTTACGAAATGCGATCCGAGCATTTCGCTTGTTTGGCACAACTACTGCAAACCCAAAGTCTCCGACCATGAAGCAAGGGCCATGCGAGCATGTGTGTGATAAGGAGCTCCGCCGCACGAAGATGTTCGCGGCACTCCAGTCGAGGTGGACAATCTGGTTCCACCCATGGACCCTGTGCGTCGGCGCGGGGTCCTCACTGCCGTAGGCCATTGCGGACATGGCCTTGCTGAGGCAGAAAACTGCTTCCCAGACCAGGCGTATGGGGATCTTGTCGTTGGATCTCGTGTCTAGATGCTCATCCAGCGTCACTCCGCCAGGTATATACCCCATCGTACAGAGCGTCCCGTCCTGTGGTGAATCCGGGAGCCTCCAAAATTTTGGGAAATGAGGCGAGCCGGTCATGTCGAGTAGCTCGAGAATCATGTTCTCCTGGCGGAATAAGTGCTTGGTATCAACGTCGAGCTCTTCTGTGGTTTGCTGAAAGTGGGAATACTCCAATGAGCTGTCAGTGCTAGACCGAGTCCTGGAGCTTCCCAATGAACCCTGTGCGTCTTCTAGTTGGGCTTGTCGGATCATTTGTGAGGCCCTGATCTGGCCCACCACAGAAGCCATGATGTCCACAAGATCACCATCCTTATAATTGAACTTGGCAACTATGATGTCCTCAGGTGCAATTTCGGTATCTTCGTCGACGCTGAGCTTGTCGTCAACATACATTATGACAACGCCATAGCCGCCGTTGGCGAGAATCTTCAGCGGCACCCAGCGCGCATATTGCTCTCCATTCTCGTCAGGAGTTAAGGTCTCGTCGTATGCGAACAAATAAGGCACTCCCACATCACCTTCCAAGTCCCCCGCGTCAGAACTCACGTCGCTACGCTTCCTCAGCGGTTGGACGAGGTTCTGCGCGATGCCCACCCAGAGCGGTCTGTAGTTGACCATGCACTCGTCGCCGTACCGCTGCCTCCAGAGCGTCTGCGGAGGGGGCAGGATCTCGTCCGGGCCGGTGCGCTGCACGTGGTAGAAGGCTTCGAGGTCCCCTGAGCCGCCGATGTTGGGCCTCATCGGCATGCAGGATACAAGTCTACCATTTCTGTCGCGCATCCATCTCGGCGCCTGATGCTGCGGTTTCTCTACTCTGTATTTTGAGCTGCTCGGCAGAGTCACGATGCCTCTCTGCAAGGACGACGTTACTCTGCCACGTCCCACGGGGGGCGAGGGGCGGCGTCTTCTTCCTTTTGAATTGGTCGGCAGAGTCTCGATGCCTCTCTGGACGAGCGGCGGCGATACTCTGCCACGTCCCTTAGGGGATGAGGGGCGGCGTCTTCTTCCTCGCATCCTGAGCGTGCTTTGGGCTAAGTGTTTTTGTGGTTCGTTCTGAGGTCACGATGCTATGTCAAGTCGTTTCTTGCTACAATCCAGGCATTGTCCGTCCGAATGGGTAGCCACTGCTACAATTATATACTCATATGGGAATGGTTGCTTCATGATAGGGCTCCATTCAGTGTTCCCTCCCAGCACTTCTATGCTTTGTCGCTTGTCCTACTGGTTCCAATGTGTTCGCCGCATTTGGCAGTACACCCTGGACGGAGATGGCAGACACGGTTCGGTCAGGGCTCGAGACAAAGATTAGCCTGGCAGCATGACCAGACAGTAAGGCATCTGTCATTCTCAACGACTCCAACATTGTTGCCGCCGCGCGTCCTAGGGACCACCTCACTGCCATCCCAGCCCGACCAATCTTGCCTAGTATTGTCTGCCGCCGCCCTCCTGGCCGTCCTGCGCAGCCCCCTCGCGACCAGCAGAGATGTCGGCGCACAGGACCCTCATCGCCTTCATGCCGACGACCATGTCCTCGCACGCGGCGGTGTTGCCCAGCGCCCTCTTGTTGAGCTGGCCGACCCAGCCGCCCTCGGCCGAGAGCTTCTCGGCCTTGAGCACCAGGCGGGCGTGCCAGTCGCCGTCGTCGTCGGGCTCGCCGGACCGGCCGGACGCGTCGCCGCGGGCCGCTGCCAGCGCCTGCTGCGTGGAGCGCCGCACGCGCGGGACCAGCGCGTGCAGCAGGTCCCTCTCGACGCCGCTGGCCTCGAACCGCGACTCCAGCAGCTCCCGCCACAGCCCGTTGCGCGTCGCGTGCCCCGCGTAGCTCGCCCTGCTCACCACCTCCGTGTGCGCCGCCAGGCACTCCTCGCAGAACTTGATCGCCTCCTCGAGCTGGTGCGAGAGCCCTTGCACGATGTGTTCGAGCTTGACGGGCGCGGTGGGCTGAGCCGCCGCCGCGTCGCGCTTGGCTACCACGCTGCCCGGCGGGTCCGGCGTGTCGTGGTGGTTGAGGGCGGCTTCGTCGGCGGTGATGTCCTCGCGGGCTGCCGGGGTGATGTTGTCACTCATGTTGACGTTGTTGGGTGTGCCGGGCGGGAAGTGGAAGGGGAAGCGTGGGTCGCCGCTGACTGGGTAGATCTGCACTGGGAGGGCTGGACCTGGGTAAAAGAAGTTGCGGTAGTCAAAGTTGCCGTTGCGGTCCATGGCTGCTCGATGTTGCAATTTCCTGCTTCCTGGTGTCCGGGCTGATGATGACTGGGGTGTTGGTCAATTGAGCGTGGGCCGGTGAGTTCATGCCTGGTGATGTAGGTTGCTCTTATTCATAAAAACCACAAAGCCTACAATCGGTTTTGATAGCTGTTATTGTCAATTTGTTACCATCAGACTTGTCTGCCTAGTGAGAATTACAAGCTTGCCTTGCAAGCTAATACTTCTTTGCTTGCTAGGGCAAACCAGTAGGCACACAATGGTCTCGCCTTTCTGTCTCCCTTCATGAAAACATCGAATCTCGGCATATGTCTCTGATGGAGATAATACAGCTTCGCGTCAGTCAATGACGAAGTTTTGAAGCGTCCACGAGTACGCGTTTCCCTGGAGCTCGATATCTCAGAAAATACCATCAAGCAGTAACGGCGAGCAGGCAACTCGAGCAAACCAGAGAAAAGATGGCTGATCTTGGTAGCAGAAAGGGTGACAAGCATAATGTGACCACTTAGCATTCCCAACATGCTTATTGGTGAGAATAGTTACGTGCATCGCCGGTGATGTGGAGAAATCTGTTGTGCCACAGGAAATTTCCGCGGTACAGTTGACCCTTCCTTGACCGAACTTTCGAAGCTGCATGATGCCCGGAGACACAGACCACAAGCCCTAAAATTCGGGCGCTCGGGTAGATTTTATTACCGTTGCTACATCATTTTCATACTCGCTGGACCTGGTGGAGTTGATTCGATCCGTGTCAGCGTCATGCTGGTCGCGCAGCTCCTGTCGCGTGGTCGTACTGTGGCTCCCTCACCTACTTAAGTAGTTGCGGAATGACAATAATGCCGTTTTTTTCTTCTAAATCCGCTAGTCCTTCACAGTCGACTGCAACAGAGCCACTTTTCCTGTATTTCCGTTTATTTGCTCCACCTGTTGAACTCTTGCGAGATAGGAATATGTCTCGCATGACACCGAGATCCTCCGAGTCGGAGTTCTAGATGCCATTTCGTTTCCACGCTACTGGATTTGTCGTTACAGTATAGTAGAGAGTGTCTGGTCATCACTATCAAGAACCAGCTGCCGTGTAACCGATGACTTATTGTTGATTATTTCTCCCTTCCAACACGAGCTTGTGACGAGCGGTGGAGCGGTCCCTATGAGTGCGTGCAGGAGGTCCACGGACTGTTCATACATTCCGATGCTCTGGGAAGAGTTACATACATAGGCTGCGTCTCTGCGCTGATTCCTCCTAATCAACAGTACTTGGGTCAAATAAGGAGTTATTCACATCATATCATCACATATCATCATCGTCTACAATTTGATTTCCCTCGAATAATTTGAACCAAAAAGCGACCAGTATGTCTCTACGGGCCTCCATCCAGGGAGCCTTGGGGGACATCGAGATGGCGGACATTACGGCAAAGCCGCTGCCATATGTCTTGGTTACATTCGTATTCATCGTCCTCGTCTACTCACTCAGCAGCAAGCCCAAATCCAATGCGCCATTGTTGAACCCCCGAGAGGCATTCGAGTTTTCTGATCAGCGGGCAAAAGGTGTCTTTTACCAGGACTGCCGCGCTCTACTTCGAAACTGGTTCGATAGCCACCCCAGCGAGCCGGCGCAACTCATCACCGATTATGGCCATGTGACTGTCCTCCCACCAAGCATGGCGAATGAGATTCGGAATGATCTCAAGCTCAGCTTCGCCGACTTCAGCGCTGATGTAGGTATATCTAGCATGTCGCACCCGTGGTGTGCCTTCTTATAAATGAAGAATGAGACTTATCTTAAAATGTAGTTCTTTCAAACCGAGTATCCGGGCTTTGAAGCACCACTTGAAGGCACAAAAGATTATATCACATTGACTGTGATCAACAAAGATTTGACAAAGTTCCTGGGTGAGTGTGGACAAATTTCGAATTTGAGTAGTGCGTGTCTTTGCATATATTGACTCTGGTCCGTTTTTCAATAGCCAAAATCACAAAGCCTCTAGCAGACGAGACGGCACTCGCCATACCCGCTTCCTTCGGAGAAAGCAAGGGTAAGACATAACAGATTTATCTCATCTAAGAGCGTCTGCGAAGATATATTGACTCTGATCGTCGTTTAGAATGGCACTCACTCCCATTAAGAGACACCATCCTGACTTGCATCGCCCGCATCTCATCCCGCGTGTTCCTAGGCGAAGAGCTCTGTCGCAACGAAGCATGGCTCAAGATCTCGCGGGAATACGCCACAACTGTGTTCCCAGCAACCGATATCCTGCGCGTCTACCCCGCTGGCATAGTTAGGTCTATCGCTGCCCGGGTCCTACCCATCTGTAGGGCCGCGCAGGCGCAGGTGGCCGAGGCGCGCTCCATTCTTCAGCCCGTCCTGGACCGGCGTGCGGCCGCGAAGGCAGCTGCCGCGGCAGATGGCAAGGCGCTCGAGTTCAACGATGCTATAGATTGGTTTGAGAATGCTGCCACCAAGGCGAAGGCCAAATACGACCCGGCGGCTATGCAGCTGTTCCTTTCGATCGTCGCCATCCATACCACATCTGACTTGATGTCGCAGATCATGACGGACCTGGCTGCGCACCCCGAGATAATCGACGACCTGCGCAAGGAAATCAAAGATGTCTTGTCTGATGGTGGCTGGAAGAAGACGACCCTGACCAACATGAAACTACTCGACAGTGTCATCAAGGAGAGCCAGCGCCTCAAGCCTATTCAGCTAGGTAAGTTCATCATAGCAGCCATCTTTCGGCTATTCAACCCATGATGAGTCCCTGGCCTTGTTGACGCTTACAAACTCAACACAACAGCCACGATGCAGAGAAAGGCCAGAGCAGATGTGAAACTGTCAAACGGTACTTTCATCCCGAAGGGGGGTTTCCTCGCGGTATCAACGCACCACCACTGGTATAGTCACTGTACCTTGTTGCCCATGATGAAGGATGATTCGCTGACACAGGAGCAAGGGACGATGCGACTTACCCAAACGCTAATGAATGTGAGCATCTACCTAGAATCAGAGCCCAGGGTTTGAGCACATGATTATGCCATATTCGTGCACGAATCTGCCGGCTGACCTCAAGCTAATCATTGTGCTCCTTGGACCTTAGGGGATGGCTACCGTTTCTACAAAATGCGGCACAGCGGCGAGCCCGGCAAGGAGAACACTTCGCAGCTGGTTGCGACGACGGCGGAACATCTCGGCTTTGGCCATGGTATTCACGCCTGCCCTGGCAGATTCTTCGCGGCCAATGAGGTCAAAATCGCCCTAGTCTTCACACTCCTCAACTACGACTGGAGGCTTCCCGAGGGCGTGAAGCCCAAGATCGATGAGTTCGGCGTCGCCCTGACCACCGATGCCACGGTGCAGGTCCTGGTCAGAAAGCGCGAGGATGACTTTGACCTGTCGGCGATTGAGTGAAAAGAAGGTGGGGGAAAAATCATCTCGTTGGAAACCTGCGCCTGTTTCTGAGATATCAAAACCCTTGAGGGGTGTGTCTGATTCCCATTACTTACTTATGCTATCCTCTCACTGTCATGAAAAGCCCTTGAGGCTCTCTTGCAAGACTCTCTACTTATTCACTGGAAAGACTCATCCATTACTCTCATCTGAAGTGACGGTCACAAATGAAAGGGTCTCGAAACTGAGTCTCAATCATATATAGGATGTGTGCTGCGCTGGGCCTGGGTAAGCAAAATCATTGGATGACCGTTTGGCTAACAAGCAGGCAGGACAGGAATCTCAATATGCTGATTCATTTTTGGTATTCATGATACCATCCGATCGGGACACAATCACAGTTAGACAATTAAACAGAATATAATTCGTTTCAACGTTCTTGGCAACTGAGTTATGATTATAGATGGTCCACATGTCTCATGCCAATATCTTCTCCTGGCCTGAATATATTGATCTAGACCATCCAAGTAATCTTATAAGTTCGAAACCGAGAGCCACGAACCAAGCACCTTGACGGCCGTTCTCGAACAGAAGCAGTACTGTGAAACCCATGACACCATCAGACCTCACGACCCGAATTCCGTCCTCGAGTACTTGACACTCAAGGATGAAAAGTCATCCTTAAGTAAGACAAGCACACTCAATAAGAGAAGGAAGCCCTCTGCGCAGGCTGGCGGGACGCCGCGCCTCACAGAGCCAGTCAATCAACATCAACCATCTTGGCAATGCACTTCCAAGCACGCTTGTCAAGAGGCGTATCAAGGACGTATTCGTCGAGCTCGTCCTCGGAGATGCCCCACTCGGCAGCCCGACCCTTGATCCACTTCAATAAGTCGCGCTTCTGGTAAGCGGTTTTGGCGCCGGCTTGCATCTGCTCCTCGGCAGCCCGGATCTCCGAAATGACGCTTTTGAGATTCTTGATGTGGCCGGATTGAACATACTCCAAGTGGGACTCGCCAATACCCAGGGTGTGATCGATCTTCTTGTCGCCGAGGCCTCTTGGCGTCCTGCCGAGGCCGCTGACGATCTCGGCGGCTCCGTTCTCCAGGTGGAGGATGGGAGAACTGGCGGGCCTGAGGGGATGGCGTGGACTGCCGCTGCGGACAGAAGGACGGCGACGGTGCTCTTTGAGAGTTGCATCTTGGTGTCTGTATTGTGCGTGATAGGGGCAAGTAGATATGGTATGTGTGGCAGTTGAGCGATACGATCAGTGTGAGCGTTGGTTGACGAGACGTATTGAACACAGTCAAGGAAGGAATCTGAGCGGATAGAGCAGCAAACTCACTCATATATCAAAGAATTGCTCTCTCTGACACAAGCCCCGACAATATCGCCCTATCTTGTGTAGATCAAGGCTCGCCAATTTAAACTTCTGGCTGGAGTCTTCTGGTCAGAAGACAGAAAAGCCACTAGAGGATGGGTGAATTCCGTTCAGGCGGGTCACGATGAACGTGGTCCGCTCGAGGACTACATCGAGGACTCGAGCGGAACTGAAAACATAGTGAACTCGTATAGCCATGTTCGCGCATAATCTTGTTTGGTCAGCCTAGCGAGCGCGATTGGTGATCCGATTCACGTTCGTCGTCTACAAGTGGGCAAAGCAAGCCCGCACTTGGTAGCAAAACATTGGCGCTTGAACCGAAGAGAGGTTATCGTCAACCCGTTGGGAAAGAATTTCCCTACTTCAGACAGAAATCACGGGCGAGACTCACTTTGCCAAACGCACTTTGAGGGGGGACTTGTCCAATACGAGAAAATTCATCCAAGTCACTTTTCTACACAAGTGTTTGGCGTATTGAAAAACACTCGACGGTTTCTGAGCAAACAACAGTGACATGATGTTGGTAAACGATGTGATATGTAGAATTTGTCAACACAGGTAGATTAATCGTAGTACTATCGAAATTAGACTGAGAATATTCTCTTGTCCGGCCCAGGGACAGAGAGACCAGAAATAGACAAATTGTCCGGACGCTCAAGGCCGAAAGGACCTTGCTTCGCTCTACAAATACACATTTGCGTTCTTAGGTCTAGGCCTTGAAGCTTTACACTCGTAGATTTAGAACTGCGGTGGAATTGCGATGGAGCGAGATAGCCTATTGCGCAAAGTCACGGCAAAAGACGAACCTCGCGATGCCTATAGTACGACCGTTGCCTTCATCTTATGTATGTACGTGTTGGAACAGGGCAATCATCATAGACATCCATCTCTATAGAATGCATGATTATCGCTCAGTAGGCATTTCGAGATCCTGATCTCTGGAAATAGCCCAAACCTTCGAGAAGAGTTCTATTCAAGATCTGTAGACCAAGATTCTCTCCTTGTGAAGTTCACAAGGAGGGAAAGCTAGGCTGGGACAATGGTTTCCATCCCGAGTGGACCTTTCCATGCAGCACAAACAGTGTGATGGTTGAAGTACACCGCGATGGAATCGTGCCAGGAGCGATCATCCTCCCGTCCTGTCGAGGATGACCAATGTTGCGAACAACATTTTCCTGCGCCCATTCTACTTACTGTTGACGTACAATTAGATGCGCTGATCATGTACATTCTGACCACGTTTCAAGAAAAGTGAAGCCCTGATAATACAATCATCGAAGACAAACACTAGTCGACAAGACCACGCACCAAATATCCCGCTCGCCACCGTCCGCACTACTACTGTTAAATAAAGCCCCGGGCGAGCGAGTCCCGGCTCGGATCGGACCAGTCAAGGAAACAACAGACAGCGCCACGACTACTAGACAGCTAGACCAGACTAGTTGGACAGCTGAGGCGAGGAAAGGGCGGCTGAGGCGGGCGGGCGGACGGGGGGGCAGGACTGGATTGGACTGGACTGGAATTCTTCAGGGACCGAACCGACCGAACCCACCCCACCGCGAGGCGAGACATGCATTGGGTAAGCAGAGACAAAGCCAGAGACAGCTATGGGTACCCAATGAGGGGGACTCCCGCCACGCGAGAAGAGGGTGAGTAGAGGGTAAGTGGAGGGTAGCAGTGGTGGTCCTCGTGCATGCGAAGTCAACCCAGATGGGGGGAGGCACCGGTCTTGGACGGAAGAGTGCGAGTGCATACAGTAGTTCTGCTATGTACATACAGTAGGGCCACATGGATGGATTGATGGTCTGGTCTGGTACTATGGGATGTACTATGGCATGCAGGATGATGTGGTGTTGGGAAGGGGTGTGTCGTCGGGACGGAGCTGGTTGGTCATCGGACGGGGGGGGGGGGTGAAATGGGTGGGGGAGGGGAGGAGGGAATATTGTGTGCATCAACGTTCCCTCCTCCGTACCCGCCCATTCCAAGCTGGCTGGCAGGGTTTGGTCCGAGATGCTGCAGTCGCTTCTATGCTCTCTATTTTTGTTTTTTTCTTTCTTTTCGCCCTTCCCAGTCCCGGAAGATATTCGGGATCAAGATCGATCTGAAGAAACTGGATTAGTATACTTTTTTGTTTGATGAATTCTGACGTGTGAGCCTCCTCAGCATGGTCTGCATCATCTGGCATTAAAAAAAAAAAGAAACCTGAGGCAGCGAGATTATGCTTCTCGTCGTTCCCATCCGACCTGAGGGTTCTTGCCTCTTGTCTGGGTGCATCAAGTTGACGGCGGGACGGGGAAACGCGTTGACAGCCGACTTCCCTGTTGAATGGGTGAATTGTGAATTGCCCATGTCGCCATGTCCCCATGTCCCCATCCCCAAATTGAGAGCGGGCCCTGGTCCTGTCTCGGTGCCAAGCGACGCGACGGGCGGCGGCAGCGAACCTTCGATTGGAAGGCTGATTGATCTGCTGCTCCCTCTTCTTTTTTGCTTAGGTGTGGGTGTGGGTGTGGGTGTGACATGGGTCTGGTTAATGGGTGCAGGGGTGCATGGGTATGCGTTTGCGAGGTACCAGTTCGTACCTGTCTCAGGTGAAGCGGTGCCTGGGAGTCGAGGCCCGCCTCAACCACCATGGACCTGGCACCGAAATGCACTTTCATCACCTCCCATACGCTGCTGCGTACACACGGCTGACACCGCAGAGCAGACACACAATTTAACCCATCGCCTTCTCGTTTGGGCCTCGTCTCTGATCATCATCATCTGCCCACTGGTAGAGAGAAAAGGGAGTACGCGTATGTGTACGCATGTGTGTCTGTGTGTGCCTCTTTTTGTTAGTCAACTCATCGTCGAGGATGTGACCTTCCTCTTGTCGGCTGTGCTGCCGATGACGTGCCTCATCCAGTTTAACCTGTCGAGCAAGACTAGCAGCAAGCAAAGCAAGCAAGCAAGCAAGCGCCGCGGCACGCATCCCGTACTCAACCACATACACCGCACGAACACGCACACGCACACTCACATACGCACCCATCTGTGCACGCAGCTGTGCACAGATGTCGTCCTCTCACCAACATCCACAGCATCCAACAAGTCTCCGTTCAACAGAGTCTGGCCCTGATTCAGCAATTTCTGAGCGCCCAGCCCCGTCTGAACACCCATCTGCCGAACCCGACCAGGGGACAGGGCCAGCCAGCCAGCCAGCCAGCCCAGTCGAGTCAAACCGACAAGTCGACGTCCCGACGTCTGTGTGTGAGAGAGACCAGGCCTGGGCTGGCCTTGTCCGACCGACCAACCACTGGTGCCCACCCCTCCTTTCCCCTTCTCTCACTCACTTCGGACGAGTCGACTCGACTCGACTCGAGCAGAACACACAAATTTACCTTGCCCTCCCCTCCCCTTCGTGCTCCTCGCATCGCAGCATCTCAGATGGTTTTGCACAGTTGAGACGGGACTTCAAGGGCACCGCTCAGCCCCCCATTGGCCCAAGCCAAAAGACACAAAGCACACAAGCCGAGCTCGGCCCAGCCACAGCATGATTAACTTTATTTCCAGAGGCTCCGCGAGAGATCCACCGCCGGCCGAAGCTCTGCCCCTGTCGCTGCTAAAAAAGGGCCCAGCCGCTCGCTCGCTCGCATCCCTCTCACGGACTTCCCTCCCTCAGCGTGTGTCTGTCTCCCGGGCCGGGGGAATGAAATGCTAGTTAGTGTGTACTGCACATGGACCACCTATCAATGCGGACCCACCGCCCTGGTGCAACACGACAAGGGGCCCGCTATCCTAATTGGCCAGCACAAGCGAGGCTCTCTCTCTCACTCACTGTTGCTGTACTCTTTCTCTTCTTTCCCCTGCCCTGGCGTGCCTGGCTCTGGCGGCCGGGATCGACAGGGCGAGAGGAAAGGGCAGGAGGGAAACGACCAACTCCGCGGTAATGTGAAACAGACGTGACGGACGGGCGACTTGAAACGATGAAGGCCCTTTCCCGACCTCAGCCTGTTCGTGAGGCCCGTGATTGGGAAAGGTCGCCTCAACCGTAGGAATGGAGGCGAGATCCCAAGATTGGCCGCCCACTATTCATTCTGTGCACTGGGCGTCAGCCGCACTGTGCTATGTCCCCAGTGCGGGTTGAACTGCCGTACCTAACCTGACCGCCGTCGACCTCTTAAGAACGTTGCCTTTCAAGAGGTTGACTGAGAGTACCTACGGGTTGCTACTGCTACTGTCCCGAACGCAACATGTCCCAAAGCTGGACGACCCGATCGCCGTGGCTGCGTGGCCAGCAGCACATGACCGTGACACAGTGCAGCGCGGTGCGTCACGGCGGGCTGACACACACGGCGGCGGCAGATCCGGCGTGGTCGACAATCTGGATGATCCGCAGTTGAAACGGGCGCCGCTTGGATGATCTCCCTTTTCCCAACTACTGGCCAGGATAATCACGGGATTCGTCCCTATTGTTCTGTTTGGGGGAGCAAATGCTGTCACTCATTTTGGCGAGGACTATATTTTCGACCGACAGAACCTTATATTACCGCCATTGAAAATGAGGCAATCTCAGCCTTGCTGCTGCAGCGGCAGACAGCCCTGAGGAAGCGGCCACTCTGCTCCCTAGCCCCGGGGGGGGGGGGTAGTCCACCTACAGTGCCTACGTAGCGGTGCAGTCACAGCAGATCTGCCGCCCCCGTTTCGAAGGGACTAAAGAGCCTGTGATATAGGGCAGGCAAGCAAGCAGGCCAAACCACAAGGGTGCCCGGCGCTGGTGTTTTGTTTGTTTGAAAAGCGCGGAGAGAAGTGGGTCGTTCATTGTCCAGCGCCTCTGCCCTGGTGGTTTCGAATCGGAGCTCCCAAAGCGGGTGGCCCTCTGCCTCATCCGGAGCGCTGCGGCAAGGGGTGGGGCTGGCTGGCTTGCTGGGTGAGTGAAGATCCGCCCTGCCCAATGGTGCATGATTTGAAGCTGGCAGCTGGCAGCTTCCG